ATTATTTCCGTTACTTGAGCCACGACCTTTTGGTAGTACCCGTTGCTGGCCGCTTCGCTGTCGACACTATGTCCTTACTATAAATATTTCTTAAGTAGAACTCGTGTTAGGTGACACAGTATAGGAGCGTCTGTTTTGCGACTTGCGTGCCATCGTGCAGGATCTGCGCAGTTTCCATAGCGGTATTATAATGTCTGGTGTGAGCTATAGTGCAATTGTTTGGTGGAACTTTACTGAGGCTTTGTTTTGAGCGGGCCTGCTGGGCTCCTTTCTTTTCCAGTTATACTTCCACATTCTTATAGTATATGAATCGATTGGGCCGTGTTATACCATCTGCTTGCGGAGTTACCAGCAGGTATAACGTAATTGCGTCACAGTGAGGACACCACGGCGGTATCTTGAACCGCGGGGTGCCTGCCCAGGCTGCGCAATCGCTCCACGTGCGTGCATCATCTGCTCGCCTGGGAATGGCCCGCCGAGCAGCTCGCGTGCTGAGGCGAGCAATAACAGCGTCCCTCGGCCGCTATCTTTAGCCGACCGACGGGGAGGGCCTGTGGCGCGGCCGCCTTGGTCGTCTTTTTGGCGACACGGCGCGAAGGAAGATAATTGACCTTGCTGGGTTGTGGACCCGGCGTGGTGCCGACTCACGGCCACCCTCCCCGTCGCCTATCCTTTTTCTGCGCGGCTTCTGAGCGGTCGATGAAATCTGTCGGGAGGGAAGTGCGGGCTCGGTATACGTCGAATGCATGCGACCTTGGTACTTGTACCAAGTCACGAGCTTTGATGCTTGGTCACTGCGGATACCTTGTTATCTGAAACTACAGAGCACGTTCTCTGTCACTGCTCTCGTTACAGCGTGCAAAGACGGCAACTATATCTGCTGCGTTAGCTCGCCTTGACGACAGACCTTTGTCTGAACAATCAAGTGCTTGAAAGGCGACATGATTTGTGTGCTCACAGAAAATTAGTGAAGTGTTTACTGAACTTTTTGCGTGGCAGTGGCCTTTTGTATAGACTATAGCACCCCAGCCCCCCCCCCCCTTTTTTTTTTGCGCGCGTCTATTTCCCTCTTCGCGTTATTTCCCATCTTTCTTCTCCATTCCCCCTTCCCCTAGTACAGGGTAGCAAACCGGATGCTCCATTTTCTGGTTAACCTCCCTGCCTTTCCCTCATTTATATTATCTCTCTCTCTCTCTCTCTCTCTCTTGTTACGGATGGCGAGGAAGGGAGGGAGAGGGTGGTCTCTTGGCACGAGGGTAGGGCTTTTTTTTTACTTTCTCTCTATCGTGTAAATTGGTGAAGTTTAGTGTTGTGAATTACTCGAGATGATCGAGAACAAACTCCGATAATGTCTGAAATCTTTGGGAAGAAACTTGCATCTTGCCTGTTTCATCAATTAAGGTAAGTGGTATATTGGTGGTTCAATATCGACATGTTAGTTCTCAGCAAATGGAACGATGACACCGCCTGCGTTGTGTCCTCTGCACTCGTTACAATTGCGCTGTGCAAAGCTGTCGACATATAAATCAGAATATAAGTCAGAATGATCAGGATGATGTATGGTCTTGTGAAACTCTGAGCTATGTTTCTTGGTGTAAAGCCAATGTACGAAAACGAAATGTTTTGATAAATTTCGATAGGTATGTCGTGTTCCATATTATGGGGCTATGAATTTCGTAGCGCACCCTCTGTCCGGAGTGTTTGAAAACGATTTGTTAATAAAGCGTGCGCTTCCATTGACTTGACATATGCCCAGAACCCCTCGAATGACCTCGGTTTCTGTTCTTCTAATAAACGTTTTTACTCTCACTCACGCCCGGCCTTTCCTTTTAAGAACCGTGGAATTGCCCCGCCGCGGTGGTCTAGTGGCTAAGGTACTCGGCTACTGACCCGCAGGGCGCAGGTTCGAATCCCGGCTGCGGCGCCTGCATTTCCGATGGAGGCGGAAATGTTGTAGGCCCGTGTGCTCAGATTTGGGTGCACGTTAAAGAACCCCAGGTGGTCAAAATTTCCGGAGCCCCCCACTACGGCGTCTCTCATAATCATATCGTGGTTTTGGGACGTTAAACCCTACAAATCAATCAAATCATAAGAACCGTAGACGCTGTCACTAACATACTTAGCACTGCATACTGTGTCTTCCCTCATTTTCTTTTGCTTGTGTTCGTCATACTTCACAAATCATTGTCGCTGTTGTTTTTTTTTCTTCACCTTATGCATGCGCCTTACGGCGACTGTAGCTTTAGGAGGTTTTACACTTACAACTTACACGCTCAAGGAAAGATCTCGCATCTGCTTTATGCAGCCACTACATATACGAGGTCAAAGGTAGGTTCTATACTGGACGAATCCTCACTCACAATGAAACAAACAAATACCAAATCTACCACTGAATCCAACCCCTAGCTGTTAGTGCGCTTTACAAATTTATGTATTTCCAGGCTCTTCCGGCAGGCTTGATGTCGCGCAAAGCTCTGCGGCAAGCGTTCGCTAACGGGACGTGGCGGGCAGACGCACCCCGAGGCGTATCTCTGCTTTTCTTTCGAGAGCGAAAAACAACAGAGGAATGAGAGCAGCCTTCGCACTATATAGAGACGGGCAAGGCCATGCCATGGCAGGCTGGTACGACTTCCTCGTCATATTGGAGGCACCCTCCCGGAAGCGCAATGGAAGAGGGGAGCGTCGTTGTGGCTGCGGGTGTCGGCGAATGCGATCCGCGAGTGTGTGTGTGTGTGTGTGTGTGTGTGTGTGTGTGTGTGTGTGTGTGTGTGTGTGTGTGTGTGTGTGTGTGTGTGTGTGTGTGTGTGTGTGTGTGAGAGAGAGAGAAGAGAGAGAGAGATCACATTTCCGCAACACTGTTTAGGACGAAAGTCTGCTTAATGTGTTCACCCCAGCATTGTCCACTGTGTTTCACTCTGATGTGTTCTCTCTAGCACTATGCACTGGCCAGTTTTGGCGTAGTGTTTTCACGTGGAAATCAGGACCCTGACTTAGCAGCAAAGCACGGACGAGGACTGTCGTCGTCTTCGCATTTTCCAAAAACGCCGTCCGGAATATATCCCACTTATGCACGGTTACCGTCATTGAAAACAACGCGACGCTATGGCTTTGTTGAGTGGATTTGCCTAATAAGGGCTAGTGTAATGTTGAATCAATGGCTGATGTTTCTTTGATGATGACTTGACTGTTACTGGTTGCCGATATTGCCTAAGTGTTGGCCAACATCGGCGATTTTGGGTGACAATGAATGTTGGCTCATGTTGGGTAGCAGATGCAATTATTGATAATTTCTACCTTATTGATTGCTAGGGTTCATGCTTCTATTCACTGTTCACTATTAGTACAGCAAGATCGTGCTCGTTGAATCTCAATTCCTCGAATAAAGTTTTTCCCTTTTTTTTTTCGAAGTGCCAAGACGAGTAGGGGGTAAAAAAAAAGCGAAAAACGAAATTCAGCGCGGACGGAGAAAAAGCACGCCATTGCTACAAGAAAAAAAGACTATGCGGTGCCCCCGTCAGGCCTGAACAACGTGTATAGACCACCCTGTCGTGCTCAGCGCCGCGTGCTCGATGTGCGCAGCGCGCGTTCGGGTGGCCGCGTCGCTGGCGGCGCGCAGCGAAAGGAAGAGTGGGAAGGAATCGTGCTGGTGGTGGACGGGGCGGAGAAAGAAAAAAAAAAAACACGAAAGATGATGTCGCGCACGCACCCACCGCGGCACTTTGTTTTGATATGCGGCGTGCGCGCGTAATTGCCCCCCGGCGAACGGAGGGCAAGGATGATGCGCGTCCGAAAAAAACTTTCCCGAGCTTCACGACGCGCTGGGCTGGCCGTCCTTGAGACACGGTCGCATTTGTGTGCGAAGCAGTGTCGTACAGAAAAAAAAAAAATGGCTAGAAGCAGCTTGGAGAGACCCTCAGTGGCTTGCAGATCTGCAGGTACACAAGCTTTGCAGGTATCTTGCATGTTGCTCGGGCAGATCAGTATACGTGGTGTGATTGGGAGTGTAGCAAGGATTTCTTTTCCGGGGGGTGGGTTGGTCCTATATTAATTAGTTCATATATATGTGCGTGTGTGCTTGTACTAATGCGTGTAAATATATAGTATATACGTGAAAACTAGATCTGCCGAGGGGGGGGGGGGGGGAGTTGCTTGCGCTTTTGACAGCAAAGTTTGGTTCATCAGAGGGAAAAGGATGAAGTCCGCCTTGTATCAGCACCATCTGTATACCTGGTCAGCGCCCACAACTTATGAAACTTGGTCCTGTTTATAAGACTATGGTGGTGCTACACACACCGCTAAAAAATTGAGCTTCAAATGGCATTCGAAGCTGTGGCCTCCGCGATCGAAAGCGGCAGCGCGCCGCTATACGGTGCGTCGATTGCCGGAGATCAACTCGGAGATTAACGGCGAGACTGGATGGTATATGCACTTTTCGCGTGGCGTTTGAAGTCTGCACGCTCAAAGGCATACGAAAACGTGTCCCTGCACGAGCGATCTATGTGGCTTCGAAAACCGTGTTTTTTTTTTTTTTACGCGTGCACTCGGCTTGCATTCCTCGCGTGCAGATGGCGCCCGGTTTTCCCATGAGACGTGACCGACTATTCACGTTTAGGCTTCCAACCACGCGACGCTTACACGTGCAGCGTGTGTGCGAAATGTTTCTTGTGCTTCCAAGCCGCGGCTGGCAGTGTTTTTGTTCCAGAGTGGCCGTGATCTTGATATGTTCGATTGAGTCGGCGTTCCATCCTTCTGCTCTCATCGTTCGCCACCAAGTTCGAGGTGACGCCTGTTGGAGGCGACAAGGAGAACTCGATATATGTATACAGTACCGCAGCTTTTCTGAAATGGTGAAAAATCGTGGCTTCATAAGGCGCTCGTGTCTGTGCGCACGTATCGGTATTAAGGCGTCTGGCGTGCATGTTTACAGCACAGAGAAGTGTGACCCGAAAGCTGTGGTGTGTGTGTATTTAAAACCAGGTGCGCTTGTTTTGTCCACGCAGGGCTGGTCGCCGAAGGATGCCGGGCGCGAGGCTGGCCGACCTCAACTCGGTCATCACGTGCATGCTGTGCAACGGCTACCTGGTGGATGCCACCACGCTCATTGAGTGCCTCCACTCGTGTGAGTGCGCGCGTGTATTACATGCGTGAGTTGTTCCCTCGGAACCGGTGATTACAAGAAGTGCAAGCGCAGCATGTACAAAAGATTATTCAATTCTTCGAACGGGGCCTAAAATTTTCATTCTTGAAGTCCGTTGTTGAAAAATATTAGTGTGTTTTTTTTTTTAGTTGATACGCGTGTACTTCATATATGTATGTCAAGAGGGTCCTGTATGAGATGACATTAAACCTTGTTTCTGACGAGGCATGTTTCGTACGCTATGTGTGTAGGGGAGTTCCTGTTCATTGATGATGTCACTCCGGTTTCGAAGTCAACCCAGCCACAGTGGTCAATGCGCTTGTTTCACACAGCAGCAGACGCGCCGCTCGTTTGGTACTGTGCTCGCTTGAACCCCAGGTGGTCAAAATTTCCGGAGCCCTCCACTACGGCGTCTCTCATAATCATATCGTGGTTTTGGGACGTTAAACCCCACAAATCAACTGTGCTCGCTTGTATATTGTTATATTACGGTTGCTGAAGCGTAAGGTGCCCGTCATCACTAGCTCGGAATATAACTGCGATGCGCCGTGAAGCAAGACAGATGCATGGGCGCGAGAAAACGACGAGGGGAAACACTGCCGGATGTAAGTACTGTTGAGCGTCCTCCAAGGTATATTACCGCTAACAACAGATATATAATAGGATCTTCGCGGGAATTGTGCCCCGGAGCAGTCGTGGCGTGCAACGATTGCACAGCGTTTGCTCCGCCGATTTTTTTCGAAGCACGTACCCTTGAGCAACAACAACAACAACAACAACAACAACAACAACAACAACAAAAAGGAGTGCCCAGGCAGGGTGCGTTCTGGTTACCGAAGACGGTTGGTGCGCGCCGGTGCGCTTTCCCGAAGTCGCCATAAGAGCCGCTCGCTATGCCGTCGGTGGACACCGCTTCTTACTAACATGGAATCCGTGTATAGGCATTGCCATTTACTGAACGAAAAGTCAAGGGTATCTCAGTCATAGTCTTTCGTTTTTCTGCAATAGTTCTGTAAGATACCGGGCGGGAAAACCGATTCGCGGCATCGCCTATAGGCCAGTGTATATATACGCGTGCACCTCACAGTGGTCGCTCCGCGGTTCTTCAGTTATTGTAATTGATTCCTGTACAAAAGGTGTTTGCTTGTCTTGGACTCTGTATGCATCTATATATATATGCGATGTCTTCTTTCTCTCCTCCCGTCCCCCACTCCCTTTTTTTTTCTGTTCTCGCATCCACGACGATGCAGTCTGCAAAGTGTGCATCGTTCAGTTCCTGAACACCAGCCTGCTATGCCCCATCTGCGACGTTCCCGTGCATCAGACGAAGCCGCATCAGTCTATTCGGTAGGTCTTCGCGCTTCGTGAGCGTCTGCATGTGTGTTCGCGGTCTATTTTTTTTTTCCTCGTGCAATGTGCAAACGGGGGAGTTACACCTCTTCTTATTTCCCGGCGCATGTGATTATTGATGGAGCGTACAAAGAAATACAAGCAAAATAAAAAATTCCCGCTATTGTATGAAATTTCAGCAAATATTTTTTCTCTCGGAGACACCACAAAGAAGGTGATTGCACGCGTGTTAGTATATACTTGTCCACAATACCTAATGAATATTATGTCCTGAGAATGCGCTTGATGAGTCAGAAAACGCAACACAAAGCGTATAGGCGCCGTCGGAGTTCCCTCGCAATGACGTCACAGATTTTGACTGCGCATGCAGGAGTCTACATAAATCCTACATTGTAAAAAAATGGCGTGCTACTAAGATTGCGTAGCCGGACATCTTTAAGGAAAGCATAACTTGACCACGTGGCGAAAATACAGAGGAAGTTGAAATGAGAGGTTCAATGCGTTGCTTTATATTCAAGTGTGCTAAATAAAAAAAGAGGCAAAATACTATTTTTACTTGTAGCAACATATACCTATATTACAGCGAAATTGACGGCCATATTGTTTCTACAAGACAATCAATCAGTTCAAAATGATTTAGTGTTTTATTGTAGCTTGTCCAATTTATTGGGGTTGATTAGTAGCAATTCAATCTCCCCCACTTAATATATATAACGCGTCTCTGCATACCCGGAACACGGTGTAGTGTAGTGTTGTTTTGGACGGTCATTCACGACGACCACGTGCAGACAAGTCTCGTGTTTGCTCTCCTTGGTGGTTGTGACCAGCTTCATTTGCATACTTCGTGCTGGTTGATGACATTACCCAGTGATTAGTCGATTACATCCCTGACCATTTATAGTTAGCGGTGGCCCGTCGTTCATGCGTGTCCTCGCTTATTTGTTTGCAGGCTTGACAGAACCCTCCAGAATATTGTGTACAAGGTTGTTCCTGGACTTTACCAAAGTAAGAACGTTGCACCAACGTTACGCGTACACTGTAAACAGAAATAAGCCGAAATTGGAGTAAATGACCTTGTCCTCTAGCGCACACCCAGATGGGAGTTTTAAAAAACCCGTCTCTGGGAGTAAAAAATTTACTCCCCATCAGAAGGGGGTTTTCGCATGGTGTCAGGGGGGTTTTTATTTACATCCATAGGGGAACTTTTTCAGGTCAGTATGGGAGTAAATTTTTTGCATCGACCGAGAAAAAAAAATTACGTCAGCAGCCGTACCATGCGCAAGCGTAACTTCAATTACATTACATTTAATACGCACAACAATGATTACAGTACACAAACATTATCACAACGTTCACGTAATATCACAACACTCGCACTCACCACAGCTTGCCACACGCAGTACACACCTACCATATAGTCACCGAGTACATATAGGCACCACATTCTGACCTCCTGTAGCCCAGGTTAAAGACTTTTTGTTTCTAATAATTAAGCAATAAAATACGCACGGCGTAAGTATGAACTTGCGGTGGTCTGATGTAAGCACTTCAATACACATGCCTTTTATCCTAATCCTGCCTAATATTTAATATTTTTTTACTATAACGAAAAAGTTTTATCAGTTGACGCTCTGTCGTACAGGCTGAATTCGCATCAGCAGTGCTGTTTGTGGACCCGTAAAATGCACTGAATCATACGCAAAGTGCGCGCGGCCTTGAATGAACACATTAACGAGGCACATTCAGCAGCTCCAGCGATGAACCGAGGTAGACCGCCGCTACCGCGTTCGACGACTAGGCCTCGCTCACGAGTACGGCACGGTGATTCGATGAATGACAGCTGGCGATCACAAAATGCTTGCTGATGTGCAGTTTACGTCTCGTTTTTCCCATGCACAGAAATAGGTGTCCCCTATCCACGCAGTTTAAGCTACGGAGCGATAGACTTAAACGAATGAGACGGTTCGCAGTCGCTGTTCCCGTTGCTCGCATGCATTGCATGTATAGCTCGCAGAGCTCGCACGGCGGCCGGTGCGCAGTGCGAGCTCGATACGATGCCGGCTTGATACCGACGCCATAGCGAGGCCTTCCTACCGCTTAGATGTTGCAGCCGGTGAAATACCGGTGACACTCCGAGAAGCCACTGTCGGAGGAGACGGGGCGAGCGCGTCGCCGGCGCAACTCTCAGACCGGTTGCCGGCCAGCCTGCCGTAGTCGAGCGAAGCCTACTTCAAACCGCTTCGAAGTTTTACGGTGCAATCGCTGACGATCGTACTCCGCCTTGTTCGGCGCTCGCCTTGTAGTTAGTCATTGACAGCTACGGTCGCAAGGCGCAGAAGACTGTTATACATCCCAGCAGCCTTCATTTTTTGTGAAACACATTCTTTGCATCGCCGGTGGTCGGTGCTAGCTCGTAGCGCTTGCCGCAGTGGCTAGCGCACAGTGCGAGTTCGATACGATGCCGGCTTGATACCGACGGCATAGCGAGGCCTTCTTACTACTTCGATGTTACAGCCGGTGAAATACCGGTGACACTCCGAGAAGCCACTATCGGCGGAGACGGGGCGAGCGCGTCGCCGGCGCAACTCTCAGACCGGTTGCCGGCCAGCCTGCCGTAGTCGAGCGAAGCCTACTTCAGACCACTTCGAAGTTTCTGATGGTGAAACTCCAGGAGCAGCCGCTGACGATCGTAACAGCTTACTTTTGCTACCATTAATTTATTCTTCGAAGTTTTTTGTTACTCGGCCCTTTGAAGCGTGGCATTCAGGACGTTTCGTTGAGGAATCGGACCGATGTGCAGCGTGGTTTAAGGTGCGAAATATATTGAAATGTTCCCAGTAAATACCAACCGGTCGTTGCTATTCTTCGCTGCACTTATAATTTCGTTGCCTGTTGACAGATGCTTACACGGTTAGCCACACAAATCACATGTGTTTCACACCGACGTGCAAACATATGCCCGTACAGACACACACACACACACACGCACACACACACACACACACACACACACACACACACACACACACACACACACACACGTCACGCCCAAAGAGGGTTTTTAAAGCTCCTATAGGGAGTTTGTAACCACGTGACCTGAAACTCCCTGGGGAGTTTAACAAGGTCATGTCGTTCATAAACTCTGTGATTAAGGAGGGGGCGTTTTACGATGACATGTGCCGAGTTCACTCCCTACCAGGGAGTAAATAATTGGGGCAGGGGAGTTTTGTGGGCTCATGTGCTGGAGAAACTCCCATCTCGGCTAACTTTTGTTTACAGTGTAGCTGTGCCAGATCAAGAGTTCGTGCTTGCGAATTAAATAGCTGTATAGATTTTGGTGATGCCCGAGTCGATTCAGCTGTAATTTTCTTTTGCTGTGACTCTAGGATATTGATAGTCGCGTGTCGCCGCGTTTACATGTTCCGTTGTACATCACAAGCCGGCAGAGGGCGTTGTTTCTTTCACATTTTCGTCGTTACGAAAAGTGTATCGCTAACGTACATGGTTGTCAGTACATCGTGCGATGCGCACGCTGGGATTTGTGATACGCCGAAGGTTACTAACGTTATGATAATCTAGGGTGTGAACATCGTCCCGTATAGTGAAAACGGCTTATCCACGAAGTAAGTTTGCTTGCGTATATTTGGGAGGAGGAGGAGGATTGAAAGAGGAAGGACAGGGAGGTTAGCCAGTTCTCACAGACTGATGCGTATTTTTGGATAAAAAATTATGCCTATGGGCACACTTTCGAAAATAAAAAAAGGTTTGTTCATTACGCGAAAAAAGAAGTAATATGGTATACATCGTTTGTTTGAGTCTTAAAAATTAACGTAGTATAGAGTTTCGTACATAGCACCTTTGCTGCATATTTCACGAGGGTTGAAGTTGCGATCTGCATGCCGCGATGTATGTTTAAACGTTTTTAAACATGGATCGTTTTTTTTTCTCTTTCTCATCTTTCCTGCAGAGGAGATGAAGAAAAGACGCGACTACTACGAGAAGCACCCGGAACACGGTACGTGTGTATTAACTGCGGTCTCCGAACGCTCGAGCCTGTATTTCTCTCGTTGTCTTAAAGCACAAGTTTGTTTTGAAATAGGCTGCTGTAGGTGTTCCGGATTCGAAAGCTGGCGTTCTAAATCAGCCACAGACGTCACATAAAGGAAAATGTCGTAGATGTTTCGCGAAGTTCTGGGTAAGGGCTAACTTGACTATACCAGTGTAGTTAAAACGCGATCGTGTTATCTTCTTACAGAAAGTCAACTGTCATAATTCTTAATGTCAGATAGTGTAATATAATAATAACAAAAACGTGAGAGAAAGATAACCGACTTTTCGTCGCGGTAAGTGCAACATGACATAATTTCTGAGCGCGTTGCCGCACTTCGTTCGATGACATTGCATCGGTTCCTTTTTCTCGCAGTCGCCGGCGTGTCGTGTCCCGAAGATCGAGGAATCGTGGACGACTCCAGCCGGCTCATCTTCAGCCCCGACGACACCATCAGCCTCTCGCTGGAGTACTGCGGCCCTTTAGGGTGAGCTGGAGTCTTCGTATACTGCAGCGAGGAATAGATAGACGAATGCAGTGCCTCTAGTCGTCAGTGTAACTTTTCGCTTGGGGGCTGTGCCACCTTGGCTCGCTCAAGTGGTGACGATGACGATTGTGAGCCGTTGTTTCTCAGCTACTGCCACCTGACTCAATTGAACAGTGCATATATGGCTCATTGTCGTCGCTCGTTAGCCTTGTTGCCCCGCCGCGGTGGTCTAGTGGCTAAGGTACTCGGCTGCTGACCCGCAGGTCGCGGAATCTAATCCCGGCCGCGGTGGCTGCATTTTCGATGTAGGCAAAAATTCTGTAGGCTCGTGTGCACGTTAAAGAAACCCAGGTGGTCTTAATTTCCAGAGCCCACCACTACGGCGTCTCTCATAATCATATGGTGGTTTTGGGACGTTAAACCCCACATATCGATTAATCATTCAATTGTTAGCCTTGCTTATGTAAGTTTTGGCGTTATGTATAATTGATAGATATGTGAGGTTTGACGTCCCAAAGCCACCATATGATTATGAGAGACGTCGTAGTGGAGGGCTCCGGAAATTAGGACTACCCGGGTTTCTTCAACGTGCTCCCAAATCTGAGGACACGGGCCTACATTTCGGCCTCCATCGGAAATGCAGCCGCCGCAGCCGGGATTCGATCCCGCGACCTGTGGGTCAGCAGCCGAGTACCCCAGACCTCAGCCACTAGACCACCGCGGAGGGGCGGCGTTATGTATAAGTTATCGCGGTCAAGTTATGAATCAAATATTGCGACGTGATTTGTTCAGGGGCAATGCAGGGTGCATTTCAGAACAGCGTGCTCTCTCACTCACTATGCCGCTCACCAGAGCTCACCGAACTTTTTTTTGGGGGGGGGGGAGGGGGGGGGGCTTGTGCCCTGTGTTTGCCAGCCCCCGGGCTACGACCCTGCTAACCTAGTAAAGCTTTTGGGGGTGACGGTCTCGTCTCTTGATCTTGTGCGAGTAAAAAAAAAATCGCCAACTATGAACCGGAACGAACTGGCAATGCGCTAAACCCGAACTCTACCATAGCACGCCTGTACACGTGTCATACTTCCGCATTTCGTTCGCGCATCCCAGTCGCAGGCGTTCGTGCGCATCTCTACGCGTAGCGACAGCAGCGTGAGCTCGCGCCTGTACCTCAGTGTCGCCTGTCTTAGCTCTGAATGGGGCCTTCGAGGCTCGTCACGTTATTTCCGCTGTTGCGCAATGGCGCGCTGACGTCATTGAGTAGGCGGCGTGACGTTGACGCGTCCGCATTTTATTCGATTCATCCGTGCTTTTCCCTCTCTCCGAATGTGCCTCCCCCCCGTACACACAGTGTGTAGCTCTTCCGGCGCTGCTGACGGGCGCCCATCGAGTGACTGGGAAGCGCGCGCCGCAATCGATACGCGCCGCGTGGCGCCCCCCTCCGGCGGCTTCCTCGGCCGTGGTGTTTTTATTTCTGCCCTGCTGCTGTTCGCATCCCCACCTCTATCTCTCTCCCCCTCCAGCCTTTGCGTGGGCTCTCCTCCTCTTCTCGCTTCTTTCTCCCTTTCTGCAACCTTTGCCCGTTTGCGCGGACGGTAATCGCGGCCGCTATAAAGTGCGCGTGCGTGCGTTAACGCGCACGTTGTGTACGCGCAGAGAAGAGGGTCGGGGAGGGGTACGTACTTGTGCGTGAGTTCGCACGTAGCCCGGCGGCGTCTCGGTTTTTTTCTTTTATTTCTCTTTCTCTCGCAAGACACGCGGCAGTGGTAACCGGGACTGCTGTTCGCTCGCTAAACGGCCGGGAGAGGGAGTGGGCGAAACTGTTTATCTCAATTGGGCTGGGTGGCCGTATACGAAATGCGTCCTTGCGGGTGCGCTTCCTTGCAATCCTCGCTCGCGCCGAATGCCAGCGGAGCCGCGACTATATTGTTCCGCGTTTTTCTTTTCCTTTTTTTTTGTACGGGCATCCCGTTTCTTTTAATTCGTTCTTCGCACCGGCGAGCAGATATATTGCGTGAATCTAAATGACGTCTACCGTGGTTACCGTCTCTTTTCGGGATGGGAGTTCGTCCACGACGGGGCTTAAAAGCGTTGTTTGGTATGTGGCATGCACTTACAGCCGTCAAATTTGCGGCCATTTTTTTGCTGTCGCTCTACAATAACTGGTCTGGCTAAACTACCACGATTAGCCTCGGGATCAGGCCCTGTAAAAGGTTAACCGCAACACCACACTGGGAGACTGACAGGGCTGTGCACTATTTGCGGAAAAGGTGGCACATTTCTCTGCTTTCCCCCCTTACACTGGACAATATAACGGGAACAGCATCAATAGGGAGCTTCAGAATAGCGCACCGTGAGCCCTTGCGCTGCGGTCGCTGCCACTGCGCATGCGTCGTAACGCGAGTCTTCGTTCGCGTTTTCGGACTGCACGCAAAAAAAAAAAAAAAAATCCGAAATACCGTGCGGTGATGGCGGCCCGCATGTGGCCCGCAAGCGCTGGTTTCAAGGCTACGGTGTCGCTGCTATCGTGCGTTGCTGTTCGCAGCAGGGCAAACGCTATTCTAAAACTCGTACGGCGCCCGCAACGCCCGCAGCGCTTGCAAATGGCATTCTAAAACTCCCTAATATTCAGTGATCCGTTTGCGTAGGTTGAGATGAACCGATGGCGCAAGAGATTTCGCAGTCTTTGGTGGAGGGAAAGTTCTGGTGTAGCTTGAAGGGAGGGGGCACCCCCTCGCCCATAGACCCACGTGCTGGGCGATGTCACGCAACTCAACCCTAGGTGGTCGAAGTTATGTGGCCACTACGGCGTTCCTCGCAATGGTGTCGTGGTGCCGGCACGTATAATGTCTGAAGTAATTCCTGGAAACCTATAGCATATAGAAATTCGCACTCGCCGGCACCTATCACTGCGCTATTGCGCATCTCCACATTAAGGGGCGCCACTACATTTGCAGCAGCACGTGTAAGCGGAACCTCATTGCGACGAAGTTAAGTATGAAACGAATGTGGCTTCGTTGTGTCCGATATTTGTTGTAAACGTATATATTACGCATTGATATTGGGGCGAATCGTGTTCACCTCATTTGACCTTGAAAGCACATTGTGCAGCTTGCCTTTTCCGCACTACGAATACAGAGTTCTGTTCAGTGTCGGTCCTCCCTGATTGGTCTATTCTGCCTGTCAGTCAATTACGCTAGTGCTGCCGGTGCTACGTAGGATTGATTGTCATTGGTCATGTCGCGACAAGTGATAGACCCACTCGGGGCCGTCTGAGAGGTGACGTACGTTGGAGAAGGAATAGTATTTTATCGTACAATACAGACCCAACACCCGCAGTATCGCCGGGACGGAACGTAATGAAAGCTTTGATATACAGGTCATTTTGTTGCTTGCAGGCAGGCGTTCCACTATCTCGCCGCAGTACCGTATTTCGCGCTAGCTGTTTTTATGTCTGACTGCACACAACTAGAGTTACTGTATATGCTACCTTTAGGTAGCATATACAGCAACTTTACACTCAGAAAGGCAGGCACTGACGCTCTTCAACGGTTGCGCGTGGTCAGACCTTTACGACCTTTATGTTTCTTAAAAAAAAAAAAACAGCGTGGGACATTTTACCATTGGCGTTTTTTGAGTGTCGCCGTTTCGCACGTTTTGTATCTTGCAGCAAGAAAGAGGAAACTCCTAGTGGCGAGAAGAACGAAGGGAAGCCTACAAACCCTGGAAAAGAAACGGTATGCTCCTGCTACTCAGCATTTTTTCGCTTTCAACTCGTGTCGTGTATGTTTCGCGAAATCTCGCGTCTTCGGGGTCTTCACAGTTATATGCAATTATTTACCAATCACGCAGAATTCCTATCTGGGAATCGTTCGGTACAAAATAATGTGCAGCATGTAGCCGCCGTGCAAACTGGACAAAAGGGGGTGAAGTTGTTATTGTGTCATTTTTTTTTCATTTATAGCCGCCATAGTAGCTTAACGGTTTTCGCTCTGCTATAGAGTTTGAAGACGCGAGTTCGATTACCGGCCATTGCGGCCGCGTGGACGTCAGACTCTGGAGTTTTGCGGACACCCAGCGCCATCTGTCGACGCAGGTTTTGATTGGTGCAAAGCCCGACTCCCTTGCACTGTTTCCTGCGCAACCAGATGCAACTACAGCATACGAAGCAACGACTGAACTATATATTAGGTATATTTGCGGATTGAACACTTGGAAAAAAAGAGCTACGAATTACTCTCCACTAGTGAGACGTGTCATCGAACCACCACAAAGTGCTTGCGGGTTCACTTGCCAGAACCACGGCGAGAACAAGAGCAGACGCAACAGCTCCGCGCTCTAGAAAAACTACTCCAGTCGACGGTATACTTTTGCGTTGCGAATTGCCACGGACGTAAAGAACTTCAGTTGTGCTGATTCATGAAGCTTTCACGAAGCAGAACGGTGATAACGCCGGATACGAGCCGTCGCGAACGTGTTGTGTAAGCGAATTACTCGCGTTCTCCACAGCCGCTCGCGTGAGAAAGATTGATAATGTAGGTGATAGGATAATGCGCCCGATCGCTACCGCGGATAACTGATAGTAACTTTGATTATGAAGTTTAACACAGCCTCTGACCGTGGTGCGCGATGTGCAACAGTAAATAGGTGACGGACGCGCGCGATAAGCATGTCACACGCCGCGACCATCGATAATATGAAGTGGTCGCCATTACACAGAATCATACACGTAGGGCTTCGAAGGGCTCCAAATTCCGGCTTTAACTAGGAAATGCGAACACGTACATCACCCAGGGAAATCGCAAAATGATGGCGACCACAATCGGGCACTTTTTTTTTTTTTCTTTTGCACTCTGTCTTCGCGATTGCCGGAGCTCTCTTGGTGGCCTCGATTTTGCCTTTCTGAGTGAACACACGCACGCATTCCCATTTTGCAGTATGTAGAAACGGCAGACAACCCTCAATTTCACATTGTTGTAACAGTTCAATGCACAGCAAGCGAGATCGATAGATAATGTAACTGCAAAGATCGAAATCGTCAGGGCCATTCGTGCCGGATAAAGCGAGCTTGGTACCACTGATGGTGAGATATATTGCTCCTGTATGTACTTCGATCATCGCTTTAACATCAGTGCGTATGCCCAAGTTTAACGCATTTAGGTGTTGACGATCTCACGTCGGAATGCTTGCCTCGATGTCATGCGATGCTCGCTTGCACTTGAATTGCATCACGCCGAAATAATTGAAACATGTTTTGCATTGTACCCGCAGTTTGCTTTTATGAGCTTCCTGTATACTTTTCTGAAGCGAGGTTGTATTGACGGAAGAAGGTCCTTGATTTTTAAGAAACCGCGTCTGAAAACCGACGAAACAGGAGGGTCTATATGCACGTTCGCTTGCAGACGGCTCTCTTTGCGCTACCCATTTATGGCCGGCGCGTCGATAGGGGCGCTGGTGGCGGCGTTTTTGGCAGCGCCGCCTGGGCGGAGTCTGGCGTCCATTTCGATGAGTGCACCACGTACAGGAACACCGCTGTATTTTTTTATTTATAGGCGCGCTTTAAAACATCCCTATATAGCAGTTCAGAATTAATCTGCAGTCCACCCCACCACGGACTGCCTCGTAACGGCATTTTGGTTTTGGCACGTAGAACCTCAGATCTTTATTAAAAGTGTGTTGAAGTGAGTAGAGGTACGCGGATACGTTCTGTTTGCACGGTGTGTCGGGGAAATTGACTGTGGCACCGGTCCGACGCTAATTTCACTCGGCGTTTCGCTGGCTGCACGGATATTTTTGCTTTTAAGGTGTCTCGTTCATGTGTTTGGTGCTCCCCAAACTTCGTCTTCCGCGCAACTGTCGCACGTGCAATGCCTCGAGTTTCGGTGTACTTTTGTTGCGGAGCTCATTCTTATTGTTTCGAAGCAGCACACTGTGATCGCCTACGTCATCATAAGAAAACCTCTCCTGCCGCGTTTGGCTCTGCATGCGTCCCCTCGCGATCGATGCGCCACGGACGGTCCATGCGGGAAGAAGGGGGTCTGTCGAGGGAAGATTGCTTGCCCGTTCGATGTGCGTGCACGGTGGAGGATGATATGGATGCGTGGTAAGCGCTGAGCTGCGCTTTTATAACGGCAGACAGAATACAAGCGCTTTTCTTAACGTGGCAGCGTTAAAGAGCTTGTTTAGCAGCCATTCCGACGTCGTTGGTTGGAAGTGAAAAATCATGTACGTGACCGAGAAATCCAGAAAAATGCAAATAGGATAAATAATAAAAAAGTTTGAATCTGAGTGAGGATCTAATCGAGGTCCTTTGCGTAGCAAGCAAGTGTTCTATACCACAGAGCCACGCTTCTGCTTGGCAATACAATGAAAATAGGTTGCTCTGCACTGGAAATGCACTGCCGCATCTTCATATTCGCGTTTTCCTCCTTCACCCTCCTTCCGGCCTCCTTGCTGACCGCTTCCGGTGGCGAGTACAGGAAGGAGGGGTTCCGAGGCGCTTCCTCAACTGCCCGGCGGCCTTCACCATCAACCATCTGCAGAAGTTCATCCGCATGAAGTACAGCGTGGCACCGCAGTACCAGGTGGGTTTCTCCGTCGGACTTCCCGCGCAAGTGCTTTACACCACGTCACGGGTTTGCCCGTGTGTCTGTTTTACTACTTACTCTTTGCGCCAGGGCGTAAAACGGGGTGCCAAAGGGCGTGTCATACAACGAGGTCCTGCATGCTAGTTTGACTGATTGATTGAACATCTATTATGTATATGTTATGCACAGCGCTTGCGAATGACGTCGCAAACATGAAGCCTACTCGGATTTGGAATGTGCTCCTGTATCAATCTATAAACTTCGTAAAAGTACGACAGCAACGAGAGGGGAAAAAAAAATTTAAGCGGTCTGTTCGCGTAGCATTTGGTTTAGGGCAACGGATTTCGTTGTATACTGATTACGCGGTTGATTTTTCGGAGGGATAATGCACGGGCGCGGTTGTATATTATGACTTAAGGGACGTATGAAGTAATCTACCCCGTGAAGATAACGTATCAAGTGCGAAGGATTGACAAAACGTTAGTTCCTTTCAGTTTTGTATAGTTGGGCATTCTGACTTCCAAGTTATAGCCATTGTAGTTCAGTACAAAGTGTGTGGCAGCTTGGGCTAGTTGGTATGACGTGACGATAGTTATAGCGCGAGAACAGAACTACGGCAAGAAGGACAGCGCCCGTGTCCTTCTTTGTCGTCGTTTTGTTCTCGCGCTATAACTGTCGTCAGCACAAAGACTTGCTTGCCTACCGTCTTGTGCTTTTTGAGGACTACAGGCCTACGTGACCACCTTTAACTTTTGTGTAGTGCCACCGCTGCATACGCGCCAGCCGATTGACTGACAATCCTCCTTTTCTCTCTCTCTCTCTCTCTCTCTCTCTCTCTTCTCTTTCTCATCTTTATGCCCCCTTCCTATTCCCCCAGCGTAGGGTAGCCAACCGGGCATGTGCATGGTTAACCTCCCTGCCTTCCCTCTTGTTGTTTATCCCCCTCCCCCTTCCCGGCAGCATGTGTCCAACTTTTTACAATTGTGTTTTGTTTCTTGGTCTCGAACTGGTCTCGTGCGCGTGCATTTCGTTCTGCCCTTCCAAGGACCGGGTGGCCGGCCGCCCGTGTCTGCGGCGGAGTGCTCGCTTCCCCGCTGCGACTCGTGGATGCACACTTGTCACCGCCGAGCACGGCGACGTGGTCACGGGATGCGGCTGACCGTTCCCGGTGGCCGCGTCAGTTCGTGTGAAGCCGCGGGGTGTTCCCCCCCATTTTCGTGAGGAGCGGGTGAACTCGCGCTGCGTGGAAGATAAGTGCCATATGGCCCATGTGGTGAAAACGTTGTAAGTCGCGGCTTTCGCGCGAGAAATATAGCGCGTGCAACGACGCGGCTGCGACGTTTTTTCCTCGCCGACTAGGGTTCCTTATAGCAGCACCGTTTTGCCGTATACACTCCTAATCAAGTACGGCATGAATTGCTAGATATATCCAGGAAATCAGATCATATTCATCTGGTTTCCTGGCTGTATATAGCAGTTAACGCGGGACGTGAAGAAGAGCGTGTGCGGTAAGAATATCGCAAGAATGTCGCACCGTAGTCGGGCACGTAGTTTGGCTTTTTTTGTTGTTGTCTGCAAGACCTGTATTAGCAACTTTCTCATCTCGTAACCGCGCGTAGTGAGCAATTCGTGCGACTGGGAAGGTAAAAAAAAAAAAAAAGCCAGCCGCCGACCAGAACGGTACGTGCCCTTTCCGTACTTAGTGCAGTTAACTGCTACTGTCAAAGCACTCAAAAAGTACGAGCGTATGTTTGCGAAAAGTGTTTTATGTAGAACAGCGGAGCATTGATCGCCTGTGGTTGTTGCTCTTGGACGCAAATTGTTACGAGGAAGTCAGCCGTGACCCGCAGGTCGCGGGTTCAAATCCCGGCTGCGGCGGCTGCATTTCCGATGGAGGCGGAAATGGTGTCGGGTTGTGTGCTCCGATTCGGGTGCACGTTAAAGAACCCCAGGTGGTCAAAATTTCAGGAGACCTCCACTACGACGCCTCTCATAATCATATGGTGGTTTTGGGACGTTAAACCCCACATATCAATCATCGAAGTCAGCCGTGGTGTCACATAGAGGAACTATCCGCGTTCTTTGTCGCAATGTATAGAGTCACCTTCTATTGGGTTCTATTCATTTCTCAAGCGCGGTTTATCTGAGATTGAGTCGATAACGCAGGCGGAGCAACCGTGGTGGTCGGGGCTGCCAGTGCGAAGGAACACTGTTGGGTATAAAATCGTTAGGCATTAATAACGCGGATTTTTGTTACCGGATCTATAAAGAACGAAAGAAGCTAATGAAATGGCTGATGTCGCTGTTGATAAGATGTTCTTGCCTCGCCTTGATGGAAGTCGTTTTAGCCCGCAGCTGGCGCACGCTTGGCGAAAGTGATAATGGAATGAGCTGCTTCTTTTCCTCGTTAAACAAAGAAGAAGCGAAAAGAGGCCGAGTACGAAGCGCGACAGGCCGTGCGTGTGTACGCATTCGCAGAGCGGCGCTTCGGGCACACTTCCACGCGTGGCGGTGCTTTTTTCGTTTTGCGCCAAGAGTCGTCGTCGGTCGTGAAAGAAATGAAAGAAAAAAGAAACGTTGAGAGGGTATAGGCCTTCGGTGCTTTCTTCCTTCCTTTCGTCTCTCTCTGTTCCCTCTTGTGTCAGCGCGGTCCCGCAGCAGATGACCCTAAAGTTCGTTTGCTCGCGCGCGTGGAGATAGGGGGTAGGGGGGGGGGGGGACCGGTTCGGCGCGAAGACAATGGCACCGCCGCCGCGTTGACTGAGATGTGGATGCCGAGAGAGGCGCGCGCATATAGTACGCGGAAGAAGGGATCCCACGCCTGGGATGGCGACGCGCAGTATATGCATAGTACCGCTATTGCGGGTCGAGTAATCACGCCGCTGTTATTATGTACGCCAGGGAGCTCATCATCCGCTGTGCGCGACAATGTCGTTCGTGGGGATCTGCTCATCTGTTTTTTTTTCTTCTTCCTTCATCTCTCTGTCGCTACGTATTTAACCGCAGCTGTTGATTGGGGGGGGGGGGTTGTTACGTAACCCGCGTGTAAAACTTCCGCGTCTCATTCTATATGCGCTGCGCTCCCCTTTACGTCGTCAGCTATGTTTAGAGTAGCGTACGCGTAGCTTCGCGCTAGCGTGCGTCGGTTCGCCACTGCGCATGCGTCATATCCTCCTGGGTACCTACGGCGCGTCAAGTTACGGAAACATTGTATCGTACCTAATGAGCGCTAAAGTTAAACGAACTATTCTGAAGCAATTATTTCTCGGTCACTGCGAATTATATGGGAGACTTGTAACAGACGAACGCTATATACTAAGAGCGCGAACAGAGAAAGGATTTAGTGAGAAATGTAGAGCAGGAACTAACGCCTGAAAGCGCTGACTGTTATCGAATAACCGCACAAATGAATCAAATGGTAGGCTTTCTGCAAATAAGCGTTGACAAGACTCCGAAGCCTTCGAGACGTGTACGTTTGCGCAATTTCAAAGACCGCAGTCTCTTTCTTGGCATACTTGAACGCAGGAATTTTGTTCTGCCTGTCACACGATTCAGCCACTCGGCCGAAGTTTAAGCACTCGATGAACGCCCAGCCATCTTGGAACTGGTGGCTGCGTTCGTACTTGAGAACATTGTCGATGAAAAAGCAAATATTACGCATACCTGAAGCGCCACGTGAGTATTAGGCAGAGGCGGTGTGTTCCTTTACTGAAAAATACATGAATACGTAATTTTTGTTTCTTCGGCTGCACCGAATGTGTGATGCTGTGCACGAAAGAAGGACGGCAGAAGACTACATTGTCTTTCGACGACATTTGCAGTGAAGCATGCTGATACGCTGCCAGTTTTTTAACAGCAAACTTTCAGTAGTGACTCGACTGTCGCTTTGTGTCGACCATACTTTGTACAATTTCTTCGCTGCGCTTGCACTAATTAGTATGCAGATCCCGGACGCTTGCTCCGCGAGGCAAGTCGTGGAGTGCTTCGCCAAGCACCCCATCATGCGCTGGCGTGTTCGTTTCAGCAGTGCATGCATGGTCGCCACTTGAAGTATACGAGCGCGTAACTTAAGGAATACAAGACTAAGTGTGTTGTTCTTGTCTCCAAGTTTCGGTATCACGAGTTCGAGGTATCACGAGTCACCAACTCGTCTTATTAGCTTTATCGACCGACAGTTTTAGTGTACAAATTCCGGCCCTGTACTCCTTCCGGTTTCGTCTACCGACGTGTAGCCTATTGCGTTGGCTGCGAAGAAAAGCCTTGGGGAGTATTCCCCACGTTTCCAACACTTTTCTCGCTGTGCTTAAGCCTAACATTTAGGCATATATGAAGTACACCAGCTTACAACAGGTAAACCTTTGAATTTTAAGCGTTTTCTTTTGGATTTGAAGATGTAAAGAACGCTGACACAACTTCAAAGCACGCATTTCTTTTGCATCGCATTTCGTGTTGGATAGATGAATGAAGTGACCGAAAGTTTCTTCGGACACACATCGCTCTCTGCTTTCAAAATCTTATAACCGTCTGTACCGGAAGGTAAATTGGTAAAGACGAATAGATATGTATTATTGAAATAGGAGAAGGGTACGAATGAAATCGCATATGCGACTGCACAGCTGCCTTAATGAACCGACGCAACAGGCGCGATTCGCAGAACGGTCGCGGTAAGGTCTGCCGGCGGCGCCACCACGATTCGAAACTGCGGAGCGAATCCGCCGCGCATCTCGCCGTATCATTATATGCTCCTGCGTCGGCGGTGTGGTGGCTTCGGCCTCTCGTACCTGCTCGGTGGTGAGGCGGCGCAACCGGCGGGTCTTCACCGTCACGGACCACTGCCGTGGTATCGAAAGCGTGCGTACTCCGCAGCGCGGACTTGGAATCTCTTGCGCCTGTCGATCTGCACGACGCCCCGCTTTTGTATAGTTAGCGTGCATCGCGTTCCATTTTGACCGACCCCGCCTCTATATTGTTTCATTCATCCGCTTGGCTTTGCGTTCTGACATCGCAATTCAACTGGGGCCCCGCCGCGGTGGTCTAGTGGCTAAGGTACTCGGCTGCTGACCCGCAGGGTGCGGGTTCGAATCCCGGCTGTGGCGGCTGCATTTCCTATGGAGGCGGAAATGTTGTAGGCCCGTATGCTCAGATTTGGGTGCACGTTAAAGAACCCCAGGTGGTCGAAATTTCCGGAGCCCTCCACTACGGCGTCTCTCATAATCATATGGTGATTTTAGGACGTTAAACCCCACATATCAATCAATCAATTCAACTGAGAAACTCGACTACACGGTGAAACCAAGTGGGACATCGTGCACGGTCAGCCTGCGTGATGCGCAGTTGTATAGGAAGCCGCGGGGCGGCGGTAACTGTCGGTGGTGTGATGGGCACTCGTTCTGTTTGCGTGGAGACGGGCATTGCGCCGCCGTGCAGTAAAATGGACGGAGGAGACGCCGTCGTAGCCGATGCGGAACAAAGTTGGACCGCGCGACGTCCATCGTTCTCTCCGCGAACGGTGAGAAGCGGTCACAGCGAGGGCTCGGCGTCGTTGTCCGGTAGGCAAAACCAGCGCCCTCCTCCCCGTCAGACGTTGGCAGAACAAAAGATGGTCGACGCCGGCCGGCAGAAGGGCGAAAGGCCGGCCCAGCGCATGCAGACGTTCTTCTTGTGCTGGGACTCGCGGCTGCTTCGCGTCATATTGTCCACGTTTACGGCGCAGCTGTTTACCCTGCGTCGTCTTGTAGTAGTAGTAGTATAGTAGTAGTGGCGGTACTAACAGCAGCGGCAACGGCGGCGTCACGCAGGTCACGTGACCCAGATGAGAGAGTGAATAGAGAAATAAATCCATCGAAATGCGTTAGCGCGCGTATTTCAAATGTAGTGGTGATATACAGCGACACGTGATTCGCCAATCACACACACACACTCGCACACAGCTTCGATCTTGGGCGGTGTCACGGCGTAGAACTATTTCTTATAACGTGAGAACGCGCGCACTTTGGGGGCGGGGGGCTCTACAGTATAGGCGATGGTGATTGCGCGGCTTATTCCAAGATATTTGAGTTTTCAAGCGAGAAGCCGTGCCTTGCGAAATAGGAGGAGAATTGCGGAAGCAAGACGACTGCATACTACAGAAGCGGTTGGTGTGCACAGGTTCAATTCCTGCGTTCCCACGCGCTAACGAAATAACCTGGAATGCGAGGAGGGTATTGGCGTACGAATTATACGAAATGTATGACATACACCTATCGCGAACGTCACTCGCAGTTTTGTGTGCAATTTTAAGTACCGTTTACTGGCCTACGCGTTTCGACTATCATAGCATCATACATATTAAGATTGGGGAATAGTTCAAATTTCGCCTGAGGCGTTTCCGTGCACCGCCGCATTTTCGCCGTTTACGTGTCTTCACTGACTGGCAGCGCCGGTGGAGCGAAAATAACACGGCAGCCTCCTCATCAGCGCAGTTGCCCCGCCGCGGTGGTCTATAGTGGATAAGGTACTCGGCTGCTGACCCGAAAGTCGCGGGTTTGAATCCCGGCTGCAACGGCTGCATTTCCGATGGAGGCGGAAATGCTGTAGGCCCGTGTGCTTAGATTTGGGTGCAGGTTAAAGAACCCCAGGTGGTCAAAATTTCCGGAGCCCTCCGCTACGGCATCTCTCATAATCATATGGTGGCTTTGGGACGTTAAACCCCACATATCTATCATCAGCGCAATTGACGGAGTCGTGCCTAATAGGAAGCTCTACATATAGTAACTGGGGGTTCAATAAAATTGGGCACGCGCTACGTTAGCCTGTTGTAACGGTGTCTTTTCTGACGTATGCTCGACATTTGCGTTTACTGAATTGTTCGTAACGTCTCTTATTGCACAGTTCGATGGCCCGATAAAAACAAGAAAACGAATAAAAAGCTGGTTGAGTGAAGCTGCTCGTCGTTATTTTACGAGCGACGTGTCGAGTATACAGAAGGTCAACGCCAGCGTGCGTTTCTCGCTGGCGGGAAAGCAGCTTGGCTCTTTTGAACGAACCTTCTTCCTCTCCTGGCGTCAAAGAACGGCAGCGATGACCGGTCAGCCATGCGTGCACTCGGTCGACGCTTCAACCGCTGTTGCAGCACTCACACACGGATCGTTTCGCTGCCGAGCATCGTCGTCCCGGTCGGTCGCCTTTGCTTCTCTTTCTTTTCATTTGACTCGCGCCTTTTCTTTTCTCTCTGCTGCATCCTGCCTTCGACACAATGGCCGCGGTCTCCTTTCGCACAGCCCGGCCCGGTCGGGGCAGGTTTCGAGCGCGCGCGCGAGTTACTCCTCTTTCGCATCACGACTCGCACACAGACCGGTCACGATCGGGAGCCTTTCCGATATGGCACCTCGGAGGCGTGGACTTCGCCGGCCGGTGGGCCCCGCACGTTTCTTCCACCTGCGCCGCTGCCGCCACTTGCCCCCCCGAGTGCGCGGACCGAATGGCAACCACCCTCGCGGCCGCCAGAACCGGTGCTGCCCCAAAGCCCCTCCCTCGCGGGGGCCCCCGTCGCGCCTTTTCCATCAAGACGTCCCTGGCTTTTCTTTCTTTTTTCCGTTTTTGCGTGCCTCCCAACCCCCTCCGCCCGGCATTTCTCTTTTCTTTTGCTGGGCAGTTTCGAACGGTTCGTCCGCTCGCCTTTTTTTTTTTTTTTTGCGCCCTTGTGCGCGGGCATTTCTTCCACAGCAGCCACTACAGTGACCTGCCAACAAGGCGCGCGGCAGCCCTGAACGCATTCGCGTCGTAGGGGCGCGCGGGCGCTTTTCTTACCAACGGCGTCGATTGCCCACGCCGACGCCCTTGCATGGAGGAATCAAAAAAAGAAAGGAACGCGGAATCAAAAAAAGAAAGGAACGCAATAACAGGGGCTTTTGTCCATGGGCGCCCAGATCGTTCGAGCAGCGTACGCATTTTTCGTACTCAGTCAAAAACGATGGCTGTTGGGCTGCTTCGCGCTGCAAGGCGCGTGGTCCGAAACGGAAAGACGACGCGCTGGCGGGGAACTGGCGCCATCTGGACTGCCTGCGCGCAACGAATGCCGCCCGTCTTGTTGTTGGGGGTGGGTTCAAATTGCTGGGTTTTTCGGCCCTGACACCAATCCAGGTTGCGTTCGAAAGACAGCGAAAAGGAGAACCGGCGCCTTTGCTAATTGGCGAGTCAAGGCCCTACCGTTCCAAATATACTGCGAGCCAGCGCGAATGATCTCGTTCGAAATTGTCGGGATCGTTAAGTAGCCACTACCGAATTCCTTGAGATAGGGACATGAACTGCTGGAAGGTCACACTCATAATGATATTTCACTCTTGTTTGCTGTACTTTCTTGTGTTACTTCGAAGTGTAGAGCTGTGTCTTTTTTTTTTTCACAGGTTGACATTATTTACATGGACGAGGTGCTTTCTCAAGAGTTCGCCTTGATGGACGTTGCATATATCTACGCTTGGAAAAGGGTGAGAGGCTGTTGCCTTTGGCTCAGTTTGACAGCTATAATAAAAGGAGATGCAATGATGTCGGAGGATGTGCCATAGTTCGACTGGTCCCATGCTCACGGCATGAGCACCTTGCCTGCTTAAAAGAGTTTGGTGGAACTAAATGTAGTGCACACAGTAAAGTTTTAATATTGCCACTTTTAGCTCAAGTCATACAAAATTTATTCAGCTAACTGAACACCTCTTTCCAGGATTCACCCATGCGCCTCTTTTTTCGGATATGCAAAATGCCTCCAAAGCCTTCTGCTGTCAAAGGACCCCCCATCACTGCGTGCAGCGAGATTAAACAGATGGTTGAGAATGGAACCAACAGCAGCACAGAGACAGAAGTAGCAAAAGAACCAGCTGAAAATAAACCCGCAGATGAGAGTCGAACTGCCATGCCACCCCCTCGTGCCCCAGAACAAGAAAACAAGCCAGCTGCAAAAACACCTCCGGCACCTGCGGGTGCGGTTCTCAAAAGTGTACCTCAGCCAGAAGAACCTAGGGAACCTGCTGTTACTGCTGCTCCTGCCACTGAGCCTTCCATCGCAACTATTGCACCTGCTGCCGAGCATCACGCACCGGAAACACCGGAAATGTGAGTCATGATTACTCGTTTTACACTTTTCTGTTCTTTTGAAGGGCACTTGTTGTTACGACAACACTTGGCAAGTTAGGGAACAATTTTGTGGCTGTCAAGTGTCGTGCTATGTTGTGTCAATCTGGCTTTTCCTAAAGTGTGCTTCTTTTCTTTTGTTGTCTCACTGCAGCGTGCTTGTGAAGAGGGACAGAAATATGTGTGTTGATTCTTTGTTTTGTCTACATAAGGGTGCATTCACAGTGTGTGCATTGTGTTTTTTTTCGCAGGAAAACTGCTGCAGAGGAGGAATCCACAGCTCCAGGGAGTCCAAAGGCCATTGCTCTGGTGCAGTCTACATCCCCGCAGAGACAGAAGGCTTCGGAGCCACCAGCAGAGGCCCAGTCGCCACCGCCACTGCCCAAGATCACCATAAGCGGGCTGGACAAAAATAGTCACAAGATCTTGATACACACCAAGGAGGTGTCGCACACTTTGGGTCCAGCCCTCTCGCCACCCCAGAATGGACAAGACCGCTCTTCGCCTCCTTACGGGAAGAAGTCGAAACGTAAAGAGCAGCATGACATTGAGAGGCACCACCAGTCTAAGCGTAAGTCGCCTGAAAAAGTGGACAAACGGTCCCAGTGGTGCCAGTCTCCACAGGAGGATGGCATCTCCAATAAAAAGCTCAAGCTGGATGGCTGCGACGATGCCGTGGAGGTGGACAGAAAGTCTATCAGCTCTCCCCTACAGAAGTCAGAGGGCAGCGTATCTATCTCGGAAGCAGCCAGGCGGAACATGCCAAAGGCTATGCCCATCCTGTTGAAGCCTGCACCACCACCGCCTCCGCCTGCCCACCCCAGGACCCCACCTTACACCCCGATTCCACCAAGTCTGCCACGCAGCGAGAAAGACACACAACCACTCGATCTGTCGGTGACTCACCGTGGCACTGTTGTGGGTGTATCCCAAGACCCACCTCGTCGTCCGAGGGGCAGGCCTTCCGTTCCACTGCCCTCAGTCATGCCTTTGCCATTGGTGACCAAGCGGCCTTCCCTGCCACAGACAACAACAGTAACCACGACATCATATAGCCCTCCTACCTCTGTGCCTACCTTCCACAAGATGCCAGCTGTGCCGCCAACTTCGTCGCATCATCACCATCACCACCATCATCGCGGCAACAGCAAGAGCTTTCGAAAGAATGCCAATTTGACTTGCATCACCCCAGATCCTAATGCGGGTCATACCAAAATAGTCATCAGGAATATGCCTCCACTCAACACTAACAACAACAACCTCCACAGGGTGTGAGCTTGTTGGCAGTGCCCGGTAGCCAGCCTTTGCTCTGGTAGACAGAAAGTTCTGTGCGGCATATTCTAGTCTTTAGCAACAGACGTGAAGGTTCCAGTGAAGGCAGCATACCGTCTGGATTAGGTGTGCTTGCCTGTGTGAAAGTGTTGTGCACGTGCTTTCAGCAAGGTTTGTCCATTGGATTACTGGATTACTTGATCTACTCTGCAGGAATGTGCTCATTTGGATACAATGGTTCTTCACCCTTGGATAAAGACACTCCTACTCCATGATTTGGATAATGAAACCTTGTGTATCTGTGTGAATGCTAGTTTTGGCCTGTGTGACATGTGGATGGGAAACCCTATGGATACAACCATTGGTGCGTGTGTGTATGTGAGAACTCGGTGAAACCAGAGTGAATCTCTCCCACGTGGATTACCATTTTCCTGACCAGTGTTATGACAGCATCAAAGGAATAGTGACCACTGGATTACGTTGGATTACCTGGGATTACCCTGTGAACATGGATTACAGCGGACTTCCTTTGGATCACTATGTCCCAGCAGGTATCAATCACCTCAAGTCGTCAAGATCTGTTAGTCATGTAGAGAAACTCTCTACAAACAGGTGCATGATGCACAGCGTGTCCATAACCGTGTGTCACTGTAGTCTTTCATAACACACAGTGGTTTATTGTAAGCCTCCAGTATCATGCAGGTGATGTCATTAAAGCTAGTGCAATAGTCTATCGGGCACATTGTGTGAGCCCTGCATACTTGGTAGCCACTGTACAGGGTTCATCATGCACCTTGCTACTATGTATATGACTGTTCTGTATGTGAAACGGCAGCTCTAACACTTCAGTGTTGTTCATTTACTGATTCTTGCCTCATCATCCCACCGGGCTTTGTATTCCTCTACACACAACAAGCTTACTCTTACGGAAGGGGGTGATCAGCACAATCGTACAAAATGATTGCTTAGTGTCAGAAATTCACTGAGCTATAGAAATCTGGCGCCTATATATATAATAAATGTTTTGGCAAAGCTAGGAACCATAAGATGGTCATTGCTTTCTGGCATACATTTGTGCCAATGTAATTTATGCTGTTTCATTATAGTAACAAATAATGCTGTCCCCCAGAAACCTGCTTCCAGCTTGCATCAGTGTGTGGCCAACTACTTGTTCAATAGTGAAAATATCCTCTTTACGAAAGTTTGTCTAGCTGAAAATTTTGCATACTTCGGAGCTGACTGTTGAGCACTTTATTATGCACCCAACGGCTTGACTGTGTTAAATGAAGCCATGTACATACTAAAAAAAATATTGCCATGCCACATCATAGCCTGCAAGAATTATTAACCTGCAGCGCCATATACAGTTTATCTAAAGATGTGGGTTGCTGCCATAGCTAAAAATTGACAAAAACGTTTAGGTGCCTTGAATTGATATAGAACTTTTGGGCAAACCTGTCAAGAAACATTGAATTGCATAACTGTCAATGAAAGGGACTGAAGGTGTGCCTAATTTATATAATACATGTTGGCACCTCTTAATTGTTTTATCTTTAATGGGCCCCTCTCACCAGGCCTTATTAAAAATATTTGTTCACAAAGTTGTAGAGTGGCACATCAGCATTTGAATGAAATAATAGGAGCGTGTGAATAGCAATTCTTGAGACCAAATTAAATATGAATAAAGAAAGTGCCGTAAAGGAGTTGAAATCGACATTTTATAGTTTTTGGACATTAACAGCACTTTCTATCGTTAGTGTGAAGCGTTCACATATCAATATCGATTTCAGCATTGAAAGAACAAATAGAACGAGAGGAACGAATTGCGACACTTCATGCAAAGCACTTTTCCTGTGGCGAATTCCACTGGTAGATACGGAGCAGCCGCTGAAATCCTGGAGCAAGCACTCGGATTGTGCCAAACCAGATCTGCGAGTAAAACACGTGAAAGTTCGCGTGAGGTCTCTCCAGAAGTTTTTTATGCATACGTCGCTAAGCCAGCACCGGAAACGATTTTCTTTTCCGCTCGACGTTTCAATGATAACTGTGTCACCACTGCAAAGCTCACATTTCGACTGCGCAGTCTCGCGGAAAACAGGGCTACTGCTTTCTGATGTTAGGAATGTAAACAAGTGCACGGGGTTACTAGACCGCCTCAAAAAACACTGAGGCCAACTCAGCTGCTCGACTGTACTGGAAATGACAGCAACGCATTCTCGGAGCTCTGGCGAAATCCGTCTCTGCAAGGCGGAGCCATGGAACGCTCCGTCGCGGAGTGGTTTGCTCTGAATCTACCAGTGGAAAATGCGAACTTGCTCTGAATCTAGTAGCGGAACGCGGATTGTGAGCTTCGGAGCAAGAATACTTGCTTACCCTCAATGAGTGGAATTCGCCAATATAGTGCTAATGGTGGTTTTGTAGCTGGTTAAGTGAGACTACCTGAGCAAAGCAGCTCACTTCACAGTGCAACGCCTGTGCCTACATTGTAGAGACTAAAGGGGCCCTGCACCACACCTCATGCTTAGTGAGAAAATATTCAGTGCAGAGCGCCCAAATCTTTCATTGGTGCAAGACAAGGAGAGTTCACAAGCGGAGCACAAAGGCGTCGTTTTCTCAAACGTCTGCTCTATATACTGAGGCCCATAGACTACCTTTGGAGAGCCGTCATACAGCGGGTTTCTAGATCGGATCCAAGCCGCCGCGGCCGCATTTTTGGTGGAGGCGAAATGCTTGAGGCCCGGGTGCTTCGATTTTTAAGTGCATGGTGAAGAACCCTAGGTGGTCAAAATTCTTGAGCCTTCCACTACGGCATCTCTCATAATCATATCGAGGTTTTCGAACGTTGAATTCCAACAATTATTGTTGTTATTAACGGATTGCTGCTATTAGCTCAAGCAAAGCTGCATTTGGATTAGGTGTGCTTTTTGCCATGGACTGCGGTCACGTGCCGAGTGCAGCGCTTTCTATACCGTTTCATACATCATCTGCAGCACTGTGAAGGCTAGTGAGACTTTTTGCAGTCGACACGTTTCCAACAAAAGATAGTTCAATGTTTTAAGTTCGAAGCATTTCTTAGCGAATTTCGGTAGATTTGAGTGTGTCTATTCATCTATTTATCTGTCCTAGATAGATAGATAGATAGATAGCTGCCTACAACTTCTAGCTCTCCTGGCCATCTTGATAATGCTATCAATACCGAAATTGGTATAGCATAACATGAAAATTATGACATGTATGTCATGAATGTCACAATTTACATTTTATAAACTTGCTGCTCTTGCGGATGTTTAGTTCACATGACATATTGCAAAACTGATGTGGTATGACATGACTGCATGGCAAGCATAAGTGACAGACCCTAACTTGGAGACCGTCATGCATGTCATGTAAATCATGACTACATGCCACACTCATGGTGTGCTCGCAGTTGTTTCGCTGGTTTCACATATTCCAAAATTGGTATTACGGGACGTGAATGAGGGACGAAGAGCTGGTGCAAACATGATAATCATGACATGGTGTCAAGTAAGACACTGCCTGCTATGCTCATAATTCGCTAGCTCCACATATACAAAATTTGGTATCACGTGACCTGAATAGTTACGAACGTAAATGACATGTTCAAACATGGTAATCATGACATGATAAACATGGCATATTTTGCGTCCCCCTTGTAACGTTTTGCTCATTTTAAAGTGACATATCAACCTTCCTCATTCGTACGTCGCTACCATCGATTCCCACTGTACGTGGGATCTGCCAGTTGAATTGAACTTACCACCAATAACAGAATTTTTTTCGTTCTTATGGCAGGAAGCAATTGAAGATGTTTCGTGCCTTACGAAGAAAAACACCATTAAACACCTGGTATTATGCAGGTGGATCGCTTAATTTCACGTGACATCACGTACAGGCTCTCTGCACTGGGTGTGTCACGATGGCAGCCACCTGAATTTATCTCATGACACAGTGTCAGTGCTGGAAAGAATACCACAGAGTCGTTCGGTTCCCACATTCTTTTCTGCTCTTCCTACATGCTTCTGTTACCCGTTGTGCCAAGCGGAAGAACAAAAAAACGTTGAACCGGCACTGTCACGATGGCAGCCACCTGAATTTATCTCATGACACAGTGTCAGTGCTGGAAAGAATACCACAGAGTCGTTCGGTTCCCACATTCTTTTCTGCTCTTCCTACATGCTTCTGTTACCCGTTGTGCCAAGCGGAAGAACAAAAAAACGTTGAACCGGCACTAATCCGATGTGATGCAAGTGACCACGAGACAAGCGGATTTATACATTTCGCTGGCCAAACTTCTTGCATAGCTTCCACAGTATTGCACCTGATGTGTGAAACGTAGTATAGTCTACTAAAATTGCCCAGCTGCAGCACTGGCATACAAGGGGTTCACACCTGGACAGAGTAATTGCATTTCCTGACCCGCGCTCAAAGTCGTGAAGCATGTGTGACCTGGAGTCTCACACAACTTAAAGTCCTTTGACCAAAGCGTGGCAACTGGTGACCTCCGCAGCTAAGGAAATAGTTAATCTCATACACTTGCAAATGCTCTCCAAACAAGTCATACGGCTCATGTCATTGGTCTGGAGTGCGCGTCGTTTGGTGCCGGCATTGTGTGCATCCATCCGCATTTGAGGAGCAAGCGTCGCAAACTTCTAAAGTGGCATCCTATAATTGGTTCATTTTCCTGTGCTATTCTTTTGTGTGTAGCTTCCAGCACACTTGCCAGGTTGCAAAAGGAGAGAATGTTCATAAAGTGTGCTACAAGTCCCGGTAACTGCACTCATGTTTTACTTAATCGAAAAATTTTTGTGGGGATTTGATTCTCGGAGCAATAAATTCTAATTCTGCGGGCTTTCGATGACTACCTGGAAAAGTGGTTTAGGACCCGTTTATATTTGTTACACTTTTGCTTGGGCTTAGTATTTGTTTCATTGAACTTGGTATTTAGTTGCATTTAAGAAGTATTAGAAGCATTTGCATATTTAAACAGCATTTATTCAGATTGGAGACCAAATTAAATAGGACAGTGTCCAATAATAATCATACCTGCGAACTCTTTCGATTTTCCTGTAAAATATACGAATTTCGGCCGCACCTAAGATTTCACAAATATTGCCGGAAATTTCATCAAAAATATTTCATTTATGATTAAAACGAATAAAAAAATGAGTAAAGTAGTGTGGCCTCCGCAATTGGCTACGGTGCGTTGCTGTAGCTAGTCGCGGAGGCTACAAAAACGGCGTGCTATATTCTATCACCAGGAGAGAACAATATGTATTGGTGTCATTATTATTTCAAAAATTGAAAAAAATTGAGTGTACCTCTAGAAACTGTCCTACAAACTTATTCATTAAGCGACCACTTCAAAGAAATAGAAGAAACCTCCTTATCTTGCCCTTGGTATGCAAGAGCCATCATCAGCAGGCACTCTCCCATGTGGTGGAGGTAACCCTTGTAAGCGGCGCACTTTCCTTGAGGCACCCTCCCTTACAATAAGCTGTAGGAGCTCATTGGTCAAACCATTTTTTCTTAATTTTCTTTGTTTATTCACAGTGTATTTTTATTTGCAGCATTGCAAATTCTTCATTAGGCAACCATAGCTGCACTCCGAACAATGTGTGTAAGCACGGTTGTTGCGGCTTTCATTTGAAGTTGTAGCCATCTCCACTCCACGAAGTTTCATATTTGTTTACACGGCCGCTTCTGCGCGATCTATGTGCTGCACTTGTCCCCTTGATGAGGGGGCCCTCAATTCCTTGCTTTAAATTTATTATTTTTTTTGCCTCAATATGTTTAACGCGAGAGGAACAAAATGCTGATCGAAATATTGTAGCTGTTACCATTACTGTAAAAACTTCTTGTCAAAGCTTAGCAGCATGCAATAGTGAATGCCAGCTTTGTTTTCAGGAAACCTGTAAAGACTGAAGTGTATCTCTTGCAGTTATGGTTACAGGATATTCAGAAATTACTTCTAAGTTCCCAGCTGGAAATATGTTGTTGCAAACACCTCCTTGAAGGCAAGGGAAGAAGCACTGCCTTGATGGACAAGGAAAAGACATCGACACTATCTCGCCAAGTGGCAAAGACATGTTTTAGAAGTGTGAATGCAGACATGTGCTAGGTGGGTGTTGTACAGTGCACTGACGTGCGAGATTGCGAAGATGGGGCACAGGTACGACACAAACTGTTCTTTTGACAGTAAACATTTTTGAAACAACAGCCTGACTGCCGTATGAAGTCTGCTATGAAGTACACAAAATGTCTTTGCAAATATGATTCACTCATGCAATTTCAAGCACAGGCTCATACAAATGAATTTGTTTATTTACAGTGATATGTGTAAGTATGTAAAATGAAAATGTGAGTGTCACTCACAGCCTTGCAACTGAGTGTTTGTTTTTTCATCACCTTGTATTGTTTTCACACCCCTGAAAGCATGCTGAAAATGTGAAGCACAACATGTCGTTTTTTTTTCTTTTTTTAATGCCATTCTCACCCGTAAATACAAACTATGGGGGCGTACTTGTGCTTTTGCTTTAGTATCCAGTCACTTCATTTTTCAATTGAAAATGTAGACGATGTGCAATTGGAAAGCGTGGTTGAAGAAATATGGAAGGAAGCAAAGACAAACAGAGCTCAGCAGTGCGGCTGGTTATCTCTGTAAATTCGTGTTAGCGCAGATATAGTACAAACACATGACTTTGCAAAAAAACAAATCGTTATGGCAATGTGGCTATGTGTTGCAAGATGTCGGGACATGAAGCTAGCATTATCCGGTGTGTAGTTGGTGCATGTATTATTTTATTGGTTTCGCTCCTGACTAAGAAACTTGCCGTCTGATAGATGTTTATGGTGTAGTTCTTGAGGAAGCTTTAGGTCGGGGTGACCTCCGGTGGTGCCCATTCCGGTGCGTTTCAAATGCACATATGTCTTCAGGCTCAACCTCTGGACTGAAATTGATGTAGTATATTGCATATGAGAGAAACACTTAAAATTATTGTGACTGTTATCAGCGGGATATTGGCTTAGGGCTTGAAATGTAGAAAGCAGCCTAAATATAGGACTGCACCTTTTGGTGCAGTCCTATGGATTTACACAACTAATAAAAGCGGATTGCTTTTTAGAAACTGTAACCTTAAAAAGAATCTCAGCCGAATGAATTTGACGCAATGAATTTTCGTGTCATGAAGTAGTTTCCATGTCCTTACGAATCTTGTAAAAGTGCCCCTAATAAATTTACAGTTAGTTTCAGAGACATGTGCATCATGTCAATTTCGATGCATTGTTACATATTATGCAGACTTGCTATACAATCTCATATGTCCAAGTTACATAGTAGTGAACAGCAATTTTTTAGTGATTTTTGCAAAATTGAAGTGACTTAGAAACTTTCTTCCTGCAGTCTCTTATTAGACTTTTAGGTTGTTGCAAACCTCATCAAATTCAGTGCTGTGGTTGGCAGGAAAACTGCTTTTTCTGTCGTTACAATCTATTTATAAATATAAAAACTTCTGAGCTAAAGCTTCTTCATCTGTAGAAATAGTTCTGGCATGCTTCTTCTTTGAAGTGTAGTGTTCTTGAATTTGAATATGAAATAAAGAAGCGTTATTCCCCATTTCTTGAGTGCTCTGCTCATTTGAGGTATTGTGCCGACATGTCACCAATGGATTTTGTCATCCCGTTATGGCCACTTGGTAGCTGCTGCCACACTGTTGCGCTCTTTCTAGCCAACAACCCAACTCATCAAGTCTGTTGGGCTGGTCGGTGGTGATGCACCTGCTGTCACCTATTTACTAGTGGGAAAAATCGATGCTCTCTCCTGTCCCCAGTTTTCTTATTTTTTATAGTCTTGACCTCGGTAAATATGCCACTGTCGATTTGCTGTTTAGGTTGGTACGCAAACCTGCATGTGCAGTATAGCCATGGGGAAATAACCAGAACGTGCAATAGCTCGTTTACTGCATGCCCATTGTATTGTTTGCCAGGTGGATAGAGTAATCGTCGGAGAAGTTACTGAAACCTCGGCTTTGGTTTCTTCAACTCATCAGACTTTGGCAGCTGAAGTCCCTAAGCTTTTATCATTATTAGGTTCGTTCTCTTATGCTTATACGTGCATTCATATTTTAGACGCAGCATGAAGTTCAATGATTGATTGATTGATATAGGGGGTTTAACGTCACAAAATCACCATATGATTATGAGAGACGCCGTAGTGGAGGGCTCCGAAAATTTCGACCACCTGGGATTCTTTAACGTGCACCCAAATCTGAGCACACGGGACCTACAGCATTTTCGCCTCCACGCATGACGTTCAACAATGCTGTTTCGTGAAGTTTGGCAGTCCGCCTTGTTGCATCAGTCGCTAGGGTGCTCGGCTGCGGACCCGAATGTCGCAGATTCGATCCTGGCCGCGGCGGTCGCATTTCGATGGAGGCGAAATGGCAGAAGCCCGTGCACTGTGCGATGTCAGTGCACGTTAAAGTACATGAAATGGACAAAATTTTTGTAGCCCTGCACTGCGGTGTCTCTATAATCGTATCTTGGTTTTAAGACGTAAAACCCCACATACTACTATTATCAGTGTAGTTTAGCCTGCTGGTGTATCACTGCTGTTTCTTTGGCAATCTTTTCATTTCGCTCTCCCAGGTCGTGGTCCGTAGCATCGTTTCTAGCAGTTCTGGACAGTCCTGAATAAAAATTTGATACCTGTGCCACGGCCGTTGGCATACGTGCCTGTGCAATGTGCACATGCATACGAGTATTTCATGTTTACGCCGCTGAATGCCTGACCTAAATTTTTGTTGTACTCAATTTTTTAGTGTTTCGAGCTGTCTGTGATTGTTGTGATTGATTTGGAAAAATTATGTTTATAAGTTACCCCAGTTGTCCCGGACATCCTTGCTTTTCTTCTGACTTGCGCTCTCAGTTCAGGAGTTTTAGAATAGCGCACCGCGAGCCCTTGTGGTGCGGTCACTGCCACTGCGCATGCGTCGTGACGTGTGTAGGCGTTCGCATTCGCGGACCGCACGCAGAAAATCCGAAATTGCGTGCGGTGATCGTGGCCCGCAAGCGCTGGTTTCGAGGCTACGGTGTCACTGCGACCGCACGTTGCGGTTCGCAGCAAAGCAAACGCTATTCTAAAACTCATATAGCGCCCGCTACGCCCGCAGCGCTTGCAAACGGTATTCTATAACTCCCTATTAGTCTTGCGCCTGCAAACATTGAAAGCATGGTTCACTTAATTGCTGAACATTATTTTCGCATCCCCAGTAACATACTGATACTTATTTGCGGGACTATGCGCATTTGTAAACAACCTTGCCGAGACAAGGGACGTTGACACTCGTGATTTTCTGTTTTTCTTTTCCACGGACCTTGACACAGCAGACGCTACTACACCGCAATCCGGCCTGGTATGTTCGATTCGGAGCTTTGTTGTTTTGTTCTCTGTCAGTAGCTCGCAGTGCATTTTCCATTTGTTTCTCCCTTTGCCAATAATCAAAATAACGCCATGTGTTCCTTGTCATATGATCGGACAGTCGAAGAGGTTGATGAGAAAATGCTAACGAAACGTGAAAGAACAAAGCAAAGAAACGACGATTTGGATTTCACCAATGCATCACAGCACCGCGCGTCTAATCGTAATCGATGCCGCCGATAGCTTCATGTTTGAGCATAAGCGTTCGCTTTGTTTTTCAGCGTGAGTATCTTGAGTAAACTTTCAACTATTGTTTCCACTCTTTCTTGCGTGCACGTACTACATCAGAATTCTAATAAAAGTTACAATCATTAAACACGCCAAGCGAACCAGCGTCACTGGTGCTGCCATCTAGTGCGCGAACGGAATAAACGGCGTGCCGCTGTGTTTTGCTATGGTTTTGCTCTTGCACACTTGGTGGCCGTAGGACCGCGTTGTGCAGCGATTCTTTTGACAAGGTTGTGTCGCTGGTTGTGTCAAATGTCTCGAGCTTACCGACGAGGGCCCGCCACAGAAACAATCGCTCAAATTATGTGATCGAATCTCGAAGAGCTTTCCCAGCGTCACGGAACGGTATTTCAAGCCACGATTTCATCTTGGTGAGTTCGCCAGTCCCTAAGCCAAACTTCACGTGGTCCTTACCGCGGCAGCTTGAAATGTCCTCATCCACCGCGATGTAGTAGTGGTACTCAGCTGCCGGTGATGTTATTTCACTTTTACTGCAGATTATGCCTATGCGTGTGGCTTCCCTAAGTAGACAAGCCGTCGCGGTGCCTTACCACGGACGATCGCCGGGCTCTGCGCTGCGCGTGATCATGCGTTTTTGAGTTTGAAATGGCTGCGGTTTCAATCAAATTTTAAAGGGAAAACAAAGATGCCGTCTTTGTTTCCGCCCTCTTAGTATGGCTCGATCCGTTTCTGGTTGAGACCACGGAGGATAACATGTCACAGACTGGATAGTTCTGCCAAGCCATTTATGCCAGTGCATTTTCGCTGTGCACATGCCTCCTGCCGCGGTTTGTGCGTGTTGTCACCAGTGGTCGGTGGGTGTTCATCAGAACGAGTTTTACCAGTAACAAGTCGTAGCAACTCTGAAGGAACGAAGAAAGCGGCTAGGTGTGTATTTATGCCCGAAAAGTATTTTTTTTTTCATTATACCATAGTTACAGCAATATATAGCTGCATTAAAAGGCTGTCAAGCAATGCCATTTTAGCAAACTGCTCGACATCCAAGAAAATAGGGCATTCATTTTAGTGTAAGATAGAGGTTGGTAAACTAACACCTGACTCTCTAAAACGCAGCATTGTCTTTTAGTCCACTCTGCTAAACTCTAAAGTAAAGCTCATGATTTTTTTTTTTGTGTACAGTTGTGGGAAATCTGCCACAAATTTTAAGAGTTCACTCCTGAAATACAAAGCAAGGCTGGCATTCATACCAGAATTTGAGCTGAAAGTGAAGCCGAGCTCGAATTTGTGTTATATTAGTATTATAAGAACTCGCTTGAGCGTCAACAAATTTGAACTGGAAGAATAAAATATGGCTACCACTTTTGAAAAGAACTTGAGCACCATAGCAAATTGGGCGAGCTGGCAGAGATTCATCACACAGTGCTTATGTCATCAGTTCCTTTTCATGTTCCTGTTGGTACACCACTTTATAATGCAGGAAAAGAGCAGTTAAAGCATTTTGGGTGGCACACACGGTCAAGAAATCTATTAAGCTACACAAAAACTGCTTTCCTTCCGCAGCTGACCTTATCTCTCTAATACTGTATCACTGTACGCGAGGCAATTCACGTGCACCAGTTGTGGCAAATACTACAAGAAACAGCAGGCTACCGACAAGAGCACATGCACAGACGATGCTACTTTGAGATCAAGTCATGCTACCTGCCCTTTGCGGCAAAAGCAATAGTGAAGGGCTCTTGGAGGGCCACACGATGTTATGAGAAGCTTCACTGCTGTAGCTTTTGTGAAAAAATTGTTTTTTTGTTAAGATGTTTTTGAGATTTTTTTTTTTTTTGCGGTGTGCTCTTATCAAACACGGTTTCACCAATGGTAATTGGGCCCTATGCGTTGGAGGCTGTCGCTCAGTTCAAAAGGTTTTTTTTCTTTTTTGCATCACAGATATTTTGTTCCATGCAATAATGCTGCATGTCTAATGACTAGTATGTTGTTTAACTCTCTTTGTTGTTGTCATAAAGGTGCTTGAGCATCTCCGGCTGTGCTTTGTCATTAAACTGAGATAATACATTTACCTGCAGACACTATCACCTCTTGTTTAATAATTTCTTATGGTTTCCTTTACGTTACGAAGTGCTCACTTTCATGCTCTGATTATGCGTGATAGTGTTACAAAGCCTAGCACAATTCAAGAGTTGTGTCACCGGTTTGATCTGACACAGGGCTGATGTATACTGCGGCGCACGTCAGCAGGGAAGAATAACATGTAGCAGACCTAGCGTAGTTTGCCAGCATTCTTCAGTGTGACAATGCGCTAGGCACTCTAAAAAGTAAACTTAAGACTAGCAGTAGTAAACGGGGAACGTGCTGGGCTCAATAGACCCTTGATGCGTTCCCCAGAAAGTGATGCAAGAGAGATATGAAGACAGCAGAACCCATCACAGTAGCCTGAGTACCTATGGCATTGTGCCTCTGAACGCTATGTTTCAACTGGCCCTATTATGATGTGAGTATAAAGTATTTTGCTTGAGGTACTGTGCATTGAGTGCACGCACTTCTCCATTATGGGGTACTCTCCGTTATGATACTTACATTTGAACATAATAGGGAGGTTCTAGCTGCTTATTTTGCATCATGTCTGGGATTTCACGTTAATTCTAGACTCCTGCGTATACACCACTACAGAACAAGAAAAAGAAAACTAAGACAAGAAATCAGCATGACACATTCTGTACCCAAGATTTGACAAGTGGAATGTCTATTATGTCAAGAGTAATCTGGCCGTAATTTGCCTCTAGCTCTGGTGGCTGCAATTTACGAAATCAGTCATGCACCACAGTTGCTTTATACACAAGGTTGTCGAGATCACTATTCCACTTTTCCATTACTAGTTAATAGGTTGCATGTATTCAGTACCATTGCCAACATGTTTATCTCCTGGGGGTCAGTACCATGACTATTGCATTTCTAGTGAGGACATCAGAATAGAATATTCTGAACTATGAGCTGCTCTAACAGCAGATGGATGCTATTTGCAAGCACGGCTAAGATGATGACGGTGTAGACATCTGCTTCTTTTGCTTTCAGATGCAAACAAAAAGGAAGGGCATGATCAGTGTGCATTGTTCCATTCAAACAGGTACAGTATAGCTTCTGATATTTCACCTGTACACTTTTTCAGGTGGACTCAAATTATTTAAGCCCCGCCGCGGTGGTCTAGTGGCTAAGGTACTCGGCTGCTGACCCGCAGGTCGCGGGTTCAAATCCCGGCTGCGGCGGCTGCATTTCCGATGGAGGCGGAAATGTTGTAGGCCCGTGTGCTCAGATTTGGGTGCACGTTAAAGAACCCCAGGTGGTCGAAATTTCCGGAGCCCTCCACTACGGCGTCTCTCATAATCATATGGTGGTTTTGGGACGTTAAACCCGACATATCAATCAAATCAAATTATTTAAATTTTTTAAAAGAAGTGCAATGTGTGGGGCATCTTACCCATGCTTTTCCATTCAATGTGCCAATAAGCTTATCAAAATTGTGTATGGTGTAATACGTTTTGCCACACATACATGACTAGAAGTGCTAGTAAATAGAGATAACGTGTAGGGTTTCGGCAGTGCTGTCAACTCCTGCCAGCTACACCTCATTTCATACAGAGAGTGCAATGTGGCAGAAGAATAGTCGGGTGTCTTGTAGCACGTGTTTGCACAAAAAATACATAGGGCATTCTTATCAGCATATATGTGAAACTTGTTAAGGTAATGTAGTCAATTAAGTTTTGAACATAAGAAACAAGCTTTTCTATACGTGCTACTTACATTATTTTACAGTTTCACCTGCATTTTTTAAAATTCTTCATTCACAGTCTGTTGTGGCACTTCACGTGTGGGGTCGTGTGAAGTTTGTAATCGCAAAAGTTGATGACGTTCATGTGGATTAGTGGACAATGTAGCACACTACTTGTGAAACACAGTGTGGGTAATTTCACTGTGGGGTGATGTATGGCGCAGAATTGCTTTGTTATTCACCATCACTCTGTGCAACCAACATGGTCATGCCAATGGAGGCAGTGGCACCGGAGCCATGAGCAGATTTTAATCTGTAGAAGATTAATGAGATAGTTCTAGATAGAATACAAAGGCATTTTTCAAACCTGCCTATAGGTTTTCGATGGAAATCAAAGTGAAAATCAGTGTCGAAGGATGCGCATTGCTTTGACCACAGAGAACATTTTTGATTATTTAAGTGTGTTATAATTTGGCTGCTTATGATAATCTTTGCTCCTATGTTCCATAGACACTGCCTTATATGTAGCTGGTTTTGACAACCAGCTTTCAGAGAAGGCATCGTTAAATCATTCTTTCAAGGTGTTACTGAAAGAATATCCGTATTGTCGCTCTCAGGTGCCTATTATGCCAGTATTGAAACATTATCTTATGTACCACTTATAAAGATGAAAAGTATTGTCTGCACACTGTCAGTAATGATTGGTCAGAGTAAACAATTATCTCAATGCTTTCAGAAAGCTATTCATGCTGTCAAAGGAATGGTATGCCTGAAGCGTGGCTCCTGTAAGCACATATTTGCTACTGTGAGGAAATATAAGTGATGTTTGTATGTTGTTTTATTGCACAATTCAGTAGGAAACTGAACTGTTTGCCAGAATATATGTGTTGGTGCTGCAGCTTTGTCCTACGGCTGCCACAGGTGGAGGAATCTATGGGAATAGAAAAGGGTGGCAATTTCTGAATGCTCATTCATAGCATGTACTCCTTCAGCAGATGCCACATTGCTTTCATAGGACACTACATGCCCGGAGGCTTATTTGTTTACATGTTCATCATTTTACAGGCATCTTCAGTGGAGTCCACTCTGTATGTATACATAATTGTCCAATGTTCACTAGCTGTGGTGTAGTATTGTATGTCAAATTAACTTTGATTAAATAATAATTTTATTGTTACAAATGTGTTAGCAAGGACTAATGAGTTTGTAAAGACTAAGATTGCTTTGAAAGTCATTGTGCTGCCATATTTCAAATGTATTCAACCACTATCATTGAAACAACATCAAAGAGACTATAAAGATCTGTTTGCCTTGTCGAAATGGTAGAATACGTGCCTCAAAAGAAATAAAATACACATGCAAGTATGGTTGTTTAACCTTGCTTTTTTGCAATGTACATAAGCTTGTACATTGCATGTCTTGCATTGTTCAACATTGTAATGTGCATTAACCTTTACATGTGTACTACTTTGTTGATCACGGGAGTACTGATGAGTTGCGTTTCGGCCTTTCAGAATTGTGCTTGTCACATTGGCTCCATCTCACCCTATTATTAGAGAAAAGAAGACAGTCGTAAAAGTTGATTACCAAGTAAATGAGAAATTAAATCGGCTCAACAATCAAGTGTCTGGGAAGTGGAAGAAGGTGAGGTGACATATGATTCGCTGTTTCACAATGATGCTCATGTTGCGGAGATGTTTCGTATAGCTTGGCATACACTGGGGTATGGTTTTGAGAAACATATCTTTCATGTTTTACTTAAGTATGAATGTGAGTATGAACGTGAGTATGAACGTGAGTGAGTGCGAAGGCTGAAAAAATTGAGGTGAGTGAGTATGAGTGAGTAGTCCCTCAAAGTGCCGACCTATGCTCACTAGTAATATTATGTAGAAGAAGCTTGCTAAGAGAAACTTGGTTCATGACGTTTTTTTTGTAACGGACGTGCAAGGAACCCTTACAGCTCGTAAAATCGTTAAAAACATTTAAATTTAGAAAAATAAAGCAAGAGCTTTCTTTAACTTTTTGGAAATGGATGTGCTTTTGCATTCCTTGAAAATCAGTGATAGTATGCAAGTGATCAATGAGTTGGTGGGGCACAACTAAAAAAGTGCCAAAAAACAGAAGGTGCAATGAAAAGGCAATCTGTAACGATGGTATTTTGACCCAATCAGAGTGGCCATAGCATCCACTGTGAAGCAATCAGCTGGTCATACGCTGTTACAATTTTTTTTCCTGGTGCACCACTGGTTAATACACCAGCTAATGGAGAAAGGGGAAGAAGTTGAACGATCGAGTATATAGAGAGAACGGACTCTTGAAAATTATTTCTGTTTGCATATGAACGGTCAACTCCCAGAACTATTTACAATGGGTATTGTGTTTGAGGGACACTGAAGAGAAACAATAGCTTGGTTTAGGTTGACAAACTGCACTATGAGAACTTTAATGTCATATGTTTGACTGTCACAAGTTCTTTTTTAGCAGAGAAAAAAAATATTGAAGTTTCATTTCTAAATTTAGCACCAAAATTTTTGCACGTGTTGTAAGAAATTTCAAAATGTGTTTTTGGTATTTTTGTGGCATTGGCTTGAGGCAATTTTCATAAACTTCAGAGGCTAAGTCTATGGCACCTACAGCATTTCAATGTACTTCGTTTTTATCGATAGAAAGCTACGTTGACCGTGTAGACGCCTTCAAAATTTGTTGCGTTGCAGTGTTTGGTGCGGTAATCTCAAGGTAACGCCGCTTCCCGCATTTTTTTTTCCTGCACGTTTTTCTCGCTTACTAAGCGTCTTGTCACGGTGAGAGGGATATTTTTAAGACTGTAAAATTATACTTTACTAAAACACAAAAAATTGTTTTGCTCATTAGTGTCTTTTAATACCTGTGGCACCTGTGAGCCACGCAAAGTGCTGTGTGATAAGCAAATCTTTATTGCATGATTGCCAACATGAAAAGAGTGGGTGTCTAATTTGTTTGCTACCAAACATGGCAAAATATTTTAACGATATGTAGTCAATCTTGCTGAACAAGAGAACTTGTTGGAAAGTATTTCGTTGTAAATAAAAAAAATGGGAAGTGATACAACAGATCAGGATGATATATTTGCATTTTCATCGATACCTTTTCTTAGTAAGATTAGTATTGTAAATGTACGACTACAAATGTGTCAGTAATCAAGAAAGTTTAATTCAGTTGCGCAGCTGATGCTTCAATGAAATCTTCTTTTGCTGGCATACTCTAATCACAAGCTGTGACCTCTTTTACGTCACTATTGAAGGAGTACGGCAGCGTAAACATTGTACTGGCTGTATGAAGGATGAGGACGACATGTTGTATGGTTGATCTCTTGACTGGTTCATTTTTAAAACACAATTAGTAAATTTGGAGCATCCGCTCAGGGTAAAGATGCTATAGTAGCTTTGCATCGTTGCTTCTTTATGGCACATTCGTTGTAACAAACTTGATGGACTTTGTCTATGTTAGTGCTTTGCTGTATTCATTTTCGGCTTCTTGGAAATGAACTAAGAGCCGAAAATATGGCTTTCTGGTTTTGCAATAAGTGCTTTATAAGAATTACAGCGAAAAAACTATTAAACAAAGTCGGCAGGAAATGATCAGAAAGATGCTGGCATTACAAATTTACAATGCACTAAAAGACTTTTCTGCCTTGTGGTTAACAGTTTTGATCTTGTCTCCAGGGTGGTCAAAAACTACAGAAGGAATCACCATTATGCATTGTTACCTGCTCAGATGGTGAGATCTATACAGTTATAAGCACAGTTCCTGGCAGTCTAATAGAGGTTAATGACCATCTCTCCACTTCACCCGATCTTCTTACTAAAAAGGTGATAATGAATTTTGTTCTCGCCCTTTTTTATATTTTCTTTGTATTGCTATATTATTGTCTTGTAAACTTTTATCAGTCTGTAAAAACTAGGAACCTACATTGTTGCAAGCAGACATTTTAATTTTTTTGGCAAATCTTCAGTGAAATGTAATAAATAGGTGAAATAAATCACTTGGCATTCACTGAAATAAAACTGACTGCAGATGCTGGCATATGTCATCGCTTAAAGAGAATGTATTTTTTAGTAATCAAACTGGAGGAACAAATGAAAGGAGCAGCTACTTTCAACATTATTTTTATTCATTCATGCATTTATTCATTTGCCATCTGCTCAGTAGTTCAGCGCCTGTGTTTGCCCTGCTGTTCGCTGAGGTTGTGGGTTCGATTCCTGGGTGCGAGAGTTGCATTCCAAACCAGGCAAAAGGAAAAAAAAATGCTTTTGTACTCAGTGCACATTACATTCTCATCTCTCCGCTGCAGCCCCTCTCATGGCTACAGAGTTGCACTGGGGTGTTAAGCCCTACAAGTGATTCATTAATATATCATTTATTCACTTGTTTATTATTCTTGGGGCCACCTTAAAAGTACACTTCAGTGGATATTAGCATTTGGATAGCTTTCAAATCTCAGTGTGCTGTTTAGACATCTGCGATGAACCCTTTTGCGTTCCAGGTCTGCAGCCTTGGGCTGATACTAGTGATGAGAACTTCCACAATTTTTATTAAAGGGGCCATGACACGGTCGCCCCACAATTTGTACTTTGCAATGAAAACTAGGAGCAGAGGGTCTATTATGTCTATACAGATACGAAAAGTGGACTGTAAACGAATATTTCAGCGCAAAACAAGCCCTGCAAGTCACCGGCTGTAAACGCCGCCTTTTGCATACGCATGTGATGTCATGTGCGGGAAGGCGTGAAGCCGTCATCTCCAACCAAAGTTTCAGACCATGCAAATCGTTCAATTTCAGTGTATAGCCAAAGAAAGCTAAAATATTTCGGATTTCATGCGCAGCTGACCAAGAAACAATATCGTAAGGTGGAGTGCAGACTGCCGCACAGCTAGCTGGTTGTTTACAGGTTTGTGAGTTAGTCAGTGTTGATTTACTCTCAAGTCACTCGCGTGTTTAAAAATACATTCAATTATAATGTAGTGCTTGACCTAACATCTCAAAGTCTTGCTGTCGTATTTGTGAATGTGAAAGGATTATCCAGACAGCATGAATTATGACCCGAAATTGAATGTCATGGCTTGTTCAAAAGTGAAGAACAGATTATGAAGTAAAAAAAATATCTCTGCGATAACAGTAGTACTGCATGTGCATATATCTTTGTGATACCTTGTAATTATGGGGATCTTTCAAATGAAACTGATAAGGTTATCTATTCTTTGTGCAAATATGTATTTTTAGGGTTTGCAGAAACTTGCCTACTATTCACGCTTCAGTTGTAACTAATGTAACTTCCTCATCAAACCACCTCGCCAGATGTTTGATCCTGCTAAGAATCAAAGAAGGCTTTTTTTTTTAATGGTAGTCGCACACAGTATATTGGTTTGGTTCATGCATATAAAGTGTAGCTAAACTGGGCAAAGGAAATGTCGGTTGTGTTTGTGGTGATGTACTATTACGCTAATGCAGTCTTCACAAGGATAAACACTGGCCTGGCAGATAGTGTATTCAAATGAGGACAGTATTTTCAAAAACGTGTTGGATGTTCGGAGTTTGTTACATGCGAAGTGCAACAGTATTGTGTTCAGCAGGAAAAAAAATGCCAGGCCTGCACGGAGTGCACAGCACAGTCACAGCGAAAGCTGGAAGAGATGCCTTTCAGAGCTTTTTCTAAACACTTCTTTGGGTAACTGCTACAAGCACACTTTCTGGGTACTCACTATGCCATAAATAATCATAATTTTCGTGCAGTAGGCCAGCATTCACTATGCTATCCTTCTTCATTCTTTGGAGAAATGTGGCATACACTGCCCACTTATTAGGAATTTTGTGCAATGTTTTATACAGTGGGTGACGACAATGAAGAATTATGCCTGACGTGGGTATGCGCCACTGTTAATAGGTGATCAAGAACAAGTTTTCTAATGGATCGAAGCATTGGACGACCCACTCGTTACGCAATTCGCATTGTGTGATGCCTGGCTGTTCCTTTGATGTTCTAAAATGCCTTATTACTCATGTTAATGCAATTCCTTTCCCAACATCAAGCCCGCTTAAGGCCAGTTTAGAAACGAGTTCCAAGCACTGGCATGTCTCAGTGCTAGAATACTGGACTGACATGCAACGGACCAGGGGTTTATTCCTGTTGTGTCATTAATGTTTTTATTTACTGAGTTTTTTTTTTCAATAGTGGTTACGGACACCGGCGACGGCGGACAATTACGGCACCGCGCATGACTCATGTTCTGATCTGATAACAGCTTTCGCTGTAAAAGAGATAGTCTCCTTGCTCAAATTCATTTTCGTAAAGCTGACTGTGCAATATGTCAAGTATTCGGTCGATGTACTATGGCAGAGGTTGCACTCTCTTTCATAAACTGGATTTAATGCTCTTGATAAGCCTATACTTGCGTCTTGGTATCGTAAGCAAAGTCCTGATGTGGTCGGCCCCAAATTCCTTTTAAATATGACATATTGAACTGGGTGTCTCACAGCATTTAATCTTAACATCAAGCTTCTGCAAAAGTTATGCAAAACTGAAATAAACTGTGTGCTCTTATCCCAAAAGAAAACTTTGTACATTGCATAGCATCACTTGTGATTATGTTGCTGGCTACACCAATTTTGGTCAGCACTGTTAATGTGAATAATGCTTCTGCATTATGCATCCTGACTTTCACTTTGCAGCCGTGGTCATCTGGCTACATTGCCATCGTTCTGCCTCCTCTGAAGATGGACACTATGCTTCTGGACACTATGATGTCACCCGAAGCTTATGTGGCAGCCAGGAGGGAGTTGATACCGACATGCTACATCTCAGATGAAGAAATGTTTGTGCATCAACGATTGCCTCTTATTATGGAGGATAGCTAAATGTGTAAAGCCTTGCTCTCATTTGTGTAATTAAGTTTCATCACCTTGTGCATTGGTGATAAACTTGACTGTAGTACACATATTAGAGGAAATAAAATGTTGTTCCCTTTGCTATCTTTCATATTATTACTACTGCTGCGCTACAAATGCAGAAGAACAGGGCCATTGCAGATTACTGAAAAAAGTCCTATCATGTCGAAATTATGTTGGCATTGGCTGGGCGTACCGAGGCCCATTTTAAAGCTGCATGGTACTGCAAGACATTCACCAGTTCCTTTGTTTCCTTTATACTTCAAGCAATCACTCCAATTCGAAGTTATGCTGTTTTTCTTCATGCAGTCAATGCCACGAATCCTGTCGTGCGTGGCAACAGCTTCGCCAGTTTATGGTCAAGCAGCGGCAATTTGAAACCTTCCATTCACTTCATTATGAAAACAAGCCACTTAATCTACTTATGTTGAAGTGCACAACTACCGCGTTAGCTGCTGTTAAGTGCGAATCATAGTGGGGCACAGCCAGAGAGGAGGGCTTGTGTATGGACACAAGAGTCTTTGAATCTATGGTTCCTTTGCTGTGCCAGTGTCCGCACTGGTAGTGTAGCGCTTACGGGGCTCTGCTGCTCCACCGAAGTGGCTATGCCAGTGGAACCATAGTTTGTTTGTTAGTGTAGCGGCATTTTAAAAGCCATGCAATCTCATCATAAGCTTTTAGAACAAGTATGCAAATCCATCGGTGGACTGTCTTTTTAACAGCAATGTATGTAGCTTCTCTGTAAACTGAGTTCATGTGGACAGACAGAACGCCACCTCTTTTCTTTTGTCCTTGTGCATTTATCCGGCACTGCTATCAATAATAGGGACAAAAGAGCCAGGGAAATGAACTGATAACACTGCTGCGCAAATGTACAAGGACAGAGAAAAAGGGTGGTGTTCCCCGTGTCTTAATGAACCCTACTGACAGGGCAGCTACTGACGTTGCTGTTAAAAGGGCAGTATGGCAGACGGCTCAATTAGAAATCTTTGAAATGTCGTGCTCCTCAGATGCTAAACTGGGCGTGACATCTTTTCTTTGATGTCACAGTAGGGACACACTAAGAGTGGTACAAGAGCAGTGCTAAAGCGTTCTGCATAATCAAAACAAATATTGCATGGCAGAGAAGTGTGTATTCGCGTACTACATGCTCAGTTTTCATATCTGAAGCCGAAATTCAAAGTTGTGGCCTCATGTAAAAAAAAACAAACAAACCGCCAGGCCTGCGCAGGGCCAGATCCAGCCACTCATCTTAAGGAGGGTGGTCGCCTGAAGTAACACCGGAGAGGGGGCCATGCTCGTGACTGTTTCTTTATAGCAGAAATACCCCTTCATAGCATAAATACTGTTAATTTGTGCTCACGGTGTTTCACTCATCTGTGCCAACTGGTGATTGGAGGTGGACGACAAGCACTGAAGTGAGGGCAAATGGGGGTTCCGACAGAAACATTTGAGGGGCGCCCCTACCGCCCCCACATCTGGATCCGCCAATGGGGTCTGCACAGAACGCGCAGCACAGCCACAGTGATAGTTGAAAGAGCGGTCTTTCAGAGCATTTTTAAACACTGTTTGGGTAACTGCTACAAGCACACTTGCAGGGTACACTACTACACCATAAATCATAATTTTTGTGTAGTGTATTTACTGTAGTGTAGTGTATTTTGTGTACTTACTATGCCATCCTTCACCATTCTCAGGAAAAGTGTGGTGCCCGCTACGCACTCGCTAGGGATTTTATGTAGTTTTACATGCTGTGGCTGAGAAAGATGAAGAATTATGCCTGAAGTCTTTGTAATCGGTATATGAAATTCTTCTGAAGATTAATTCTATTATTTCTTTCCTTTCACATTTTTTTACATTGTGAAACAATAATCCCGCCATGTCAAAACAAAGTAATCTTATTTCCCTAGCCTGGATAAGCTTAATGCATGGCCTTACATTAACCGCCGGCTTCTTGGCCAATTCCCCTTAGTGGGTGAGAGCCACGACAAAGGATCAAGCAAGCAAGTTTTTGTAATGAGCGCATTCGATGACCCACTCGTTACGCGATTCGCATTGTGTGTCGTCTGGTTTTTCCATTGCTGTTCTAAAACCCTTTATTGTTCACATTGACGTGATTCCATCTTTTCCCGATATCAAGCCTACCTAAGGCATGCCTGCAACGGAGTTGCAAGCGCCGGTTCGCAAAAATTTCAGGGGCGTGTATGAACTTTGCTAAAAGCTTAGGACTGTGGTTTGGTCCACGGACTAATACACCAAACCATTTCAAGGGTATTTAATAATTATGTGTACCCCCAAAATACCTAGGCGTTTCATTAGATGCATATAGCTCAAGTGCACATTATTAGGAAGAAGGTGTACCAAACGTTTTTTCGTACCCTTAATTAATTGCCGCCTCTGTGCAGTTCCAGAAACAATAGAACATTGCTTTATTATGTGTAAGGACGCCATCCTCTTTTGGGGCGTCATGCACATCGAGGGCCTTAAGAAAAAGACAACTGGATTTAAATGCTCATAGCATCCGTTATCTTTTACTACCTAATGCAATGATATGCCAGTTGATATGCTCTTGTTAATTGGCATGCATAGTTTATAGGAAAACTCGCATGTTATACAGGCATGCGGAGCCAATGCTTTCTTCGTCATTCTACAATGTACGAATGACTGTGCAGCTAAGAAACTTTTATGAACAATTTCAGTATCAGCCGGACTGGTATATACCTTTTTAGATACAGTGATGTATGGAATTTGGCTTGTAATGCCCATTGTACATTTGTCGAAGTGGCCTTATGTTGTACGGAATGAATATGCGTTAAACCGCACTTGTATAACATGCCATGTAAGAAAAAAAAAAAGAGTTGCAAGCTCCAGCGTAGCTCTGTGGCAGAATACTGGGCTGGCACGACGCAGGGGACCCGGGTTCGAATCCAGTTGTGTCCGTGTTGATTTCATTCACTTAGTTTTTGTTTTGCTTACTTCGCGGGATAATGGTTACGGTCACAGGCGGTGGACAACTACGTGACCCTTGTCGTGATCTTATAACAGCTTTCGCTGTAAAAGTCCACAGTCGAATACAGCTTTGGAACTTGGCGGCGTTTGAGTCGGCCGGCGGGTGATCCCGATTCCCGCCTTTGGAGAGGACTGCCGAATGTGCTTAAATAGGAGTATAACCCGAGTCGCGGAGGCGATCTGCTGCCGCGCTTCGGTCATCTGCATCTCTTTCCAATTGAATAGCAGAGAGATGTAGCGAAACGCTGCCCAAATATAGAACAGTCTCGCGCGGTCATTCAGTGCTTCCACCCCCCTCCCCGGCCAAAATAGAGAGAGAAGAAAGAAAGAAGTCGCAACGACGTGCACACTCAAAAAGCAAAGAACATATTGTTGTCGTTATGGTCGATTCAGATGTCAACTTGGGTGTCCGTTCTTGTAGTCTCACGCCAATAATAAAACCACAGTACCGTTCAATACGTACAAGTAACCACTGGCTTGCCCAGGGAGTTGGGGAAGGGCTGAACCGAACCCCTACCCCCCCCCCCCCTTTTTTTTCAATTTTGCGTGTAAATATTTACACGCACACAGAACCGTACGCATGAACATGCGTAAAGTACGGTTGAACTACCTTTAACCTACCCCCCCCCCCCCCCTTACAAGAAAATAGAATTATGGCTGCACCCGTGCCTGGAGCGATGTGCCACGTCGCTAACTATCCCATTAAAAAAACACACATTCGGTGCCCTCTGTTTGCACATTATTTGTATATGGCCCTCGTTGTCGTCATATCGTGTCACCTATACTGTCTGGTGAAGTGCCCAGAAGAACCGTGCGAAAGATTGGAGCAGCCCGACTACTGCGTGCAAGGGCCTCGAGTATAGTAGACCCCACGGCAGGCTCGTGATACGTCTTCGTTGTCCTCGTGAGTTTTGGGCGAATAACGTGCCATGACAGCCATTTCAGCAAGACATTTGCATGCAGACATCGCATCGCACGTAATACCGCCTGCGCTGCCATTACGGGAATTCGGAATGTGACCTTGGCCACCTTAATTACGGTACTGCGCACGGATGCGGGATGGCGTCAGATCTTGAGTCATTACTGCACCACAGAGAAAGTAGTCGCAAGGACCAGGTTTTTTTTTTTTTTTTCTGGGTGAGGGCGTGTGCAAGTCTCATCCAGGCAGTTTAGCGTCGGCGAAAAAAAGAAAAATGAGGCCTCTGGAGGGGCAGACAGAAAAAGAAGGAACGCAAGGAGGAAATGTCAGGCAAGGCACGAAGCGCCAAGAAAAAGAAGAAAGAAGCGGACAAAAGAAAAGCGACTGCGGCGGATAAGGAAATTAGAAAGAGCGCCAGACGAAATGCGAGCGTGCGCAGTGGCCATCTGTGGTCGCATGGCGTCCTGATTGGCTGGAGGGCGCACGGCGACAAGCTGGCGCGTCTATGCGCTTGTGCACGGCAAAGTTGGCGCGCATGTGCGCCGCGCCCGGCGACAGCGTTGTGACGCGGAGAAGCGGGCAGCAGCAGCAGCAAGAAACGTCCTCGGGCGATTTAATGAAGACTGCTGGCGGACGAGGCTCGCTACTCGTCTGTCTGCAGCCGCCGATGTGCACACAAGTGCGATCCACAATGCCGTCTGGTCACAAAAGTGAGTGCTCATTTATTTCCCGTCAACACGCCCCGCTAGTTAGCCTTGCATTCTGTCCGGGCCGTGTACGTTGCGGTTGCTTGCCAGACATTATATATCGTAGTGTTTCGGTGACAGATCATCACGTCTACTGGATGCGCTACGTGTTTCCTAGCACGGGCATGATTCCAGTATTTTTTTTCTTTAATATCTTCGACAAAGTGGTCTGACATTAAGGGCGATGATTGATGACGAATGTACTGATGGTTCGATCAGTATCGCATCAGTAATAAGTTTATCCGTGCACCGTGCGGATAAATTTATTAGCGTTCTCATGACAGATCTTTTATGCAATCGTTGATGTTAAAGCACGCCGCTTCTATTCTGTGTTGCACCGTCGTAAATGATTGTCTGACGACGCACACGGAGATGGTAGTAAGACGTGAAACTACGGGGCAGTTTGAACTGGATACAAGGGTAACAAAACATATTTCGATGGGACTAAGGCACCCCAATTGCAGCAGCTGGAACACACGGCAGTGTTCGCTTCGATAGTGACGGCTCACCTAATGGGGTCAATTACGGTCAACAAACTGTCGACCGTTTTCATCTCTCTAAGAGAAAGAAGTTAAAGATGAAAAGCAAAGCACAGTAACAGCTAAGTTTTTTTTTTTTAATATGTATGTTGGTGGTGCGCACAAATTTTACGAGGAAGGAAAGCGCGGGGAGTGAGGAGGCTCGAACATCGCCCCCCGGATTCGAACGTGCCCGCGCACACGTTACACCAATACGATGGCCTTCAGGAAGCGGCCATTACGTAAGCAGAGCTCGTCTTTTGCCGCGGACGTCAGTTGACGGGCTGCTGCATGTTTCCGCAAATGCTGCACCGTGCTGCACAAGGGCAAAAAAAAAAAAAACCTGAGAAAGTGGTCAATTCTTATTGCTTGGGTTATATTCTTTAAAACGATGTCTTTTTGGTCCTGTCCCACAATTTTTTTGGTGACGGGGTAAGCTTATTTCCGCGATAATGTCGATCATAACTTCCAACCGCAGTAGGTCGGTCACGGACGTAGGTTTTCTTTATATATCTTAGTAATTTTTCCGCAGCCCAGTTGCATAACAAAGGTAAAGCGGCCTTACGCTTCCTGTGAATGAGCAAAAGCGTCGCGTGACATTATTGCAATTCTCTAGTGTGCTTGCTTAGGCTTTCAAGAACATTTAAACACTCCAGTATGAATTTCTATAAATATCTATAAAATATCCTTAAAAACACAGTTCACTTCACTGCATTGAAATGGTTGAATGAATCGCAACGAATGAATTAGGGAAATTGCTGAAGCGCTTGAGATAGCTGACGAATAAATGAATGAATTAATGAATGAATGAATGAATGAATGAATGAATTAGAATGCTGTCTGTCGTTTCACCTAAGGGAAAAGCTTGTTTTTTTTATATGCGACACTTGGATATCTTTAGGGGGGCCGTGGGTCGTTCCCTCCTTCGTACGTAGTATGTAGCCACCTCTAGATTATGACTTGCTCAATAGATGGCGTTGTGTGTTTATGTCCTTGGGAATAGTATAACAAGATGGCATTAGTGATTTTCACAGCATATTCACGGAGTGAATGATGATGAGTGGGGCGAAGCGTCCGCCTGTCAGTCCGTTCATCCACCCGTTCGTTCGTCCGTTTACCCCTCTGCGCTTCCGTCCTTCCGTCCGTCCCTTCGTCCGTCTGTCCAGACGGATGGACGTCTTGCCCCACTCATCATCATTCACTCAGTGAATATGCTGCAACATCTTTTCTTTTTTACCGTTCTTTCGTTATCTATCTGCAGTTTGAGATGCGTATTTATGCTCACAATGAAGCATTCGTTGAAAGTTAGCGTGTCCTCTCATCATCCCGTCCTCTCTCTCTACATATCGCTATGGTTTCTGCACAATACGATGGACTAAAGCAACCCGCCCAAACTTCCTCCCCTTTTATATATAACTGAGTTCTTCAAAAGCCTTTGTTTCATTAGTTCACGTTAACTCATACGTCAGTCAAGAACTTTGTTAAAATATCCTCAGGAGTCTAAGCTACCAAGGTGTTCACGAGGGACATCTTAGCAGCCGCTACTGTAGGTGACGCCTGAGTCGGTACGAAAGCGAGGTGGCGTTCCGCTATTTCTTGGGCCTTCTGGACTGCCTTCAGTTGGTGTTGGAGTTTGAGGCTCCCGAGGGCCTCTTCCCAGTCGGACTCGCTGGTGAGATGTCCCTGAGGTAACGCGGGACATTGTCAGAGCATGTGTGCAAGTGAACAATACACTTCTGTGCAATAAAAAAAATTACTTCAAGTACATGTTCTAGGTCTTGAGCCTTGTATCTACATCTTCATTTACCTCGAAAAAAAAAATTCGTAAGCTACGGAACAACTGTCTCAATGTTCATTATCTAATGAACGAAAATTAGTCCTACTCGCTCACGCAGTTCGGCCACGCGACACATACGACGAGCGATTGTCGAATCATAGCCTCCGAGATTGCGGGCGCGCGGCGCTCGCCCGCCATCTTGGGGGTCATGGTTGAATTATATAGGTTTTGGGAAAAAGACACGCCTGTCTCGTTTCTTGATGCTTGCTTTGATCTTCCTGCAACAGCGAACAACAGCCAGCAATGCTGTACATTTCCTCCCTGCAGTTCCGGCGAGAAACGAAGGGTGAAAAGTAGTCGCGTATTTATCGAGTGGCAATCACTGCCGTCTATCCAGCTACCGCTGCATGTATACACAGCTGCATGTATACAAGCTTCGCTTGTGTACAATTTGAAAAGGCACGACATGCATAGAAAGGGGCTGCATTTCCGTGTGTCAGGAATCGCTTGCAGCCGATGCGTGTTGGTCCAAATTCTCATAAAGGATTCTTGAGAGGCGTGTTGGGTCTATCTATCTATCTATCTATCTATCTATCTATCTATCTATCTATCTATCTATCTATCTATCTATCTATCTATCTATCTATCTATCTATCTATCTATCTATCTATCTATCTATCTATCTCTTTTTTTTTCGTGCCTGAAAGACTCCGAAGTTTGCGACGTGAAATTAGCAAAAGCTTGACATCATCATATGCCCTCCAAAGGATAATCGAAAAGTAGCACGTTGATATGATGGTGCCTTGTATAGACAAAAAATGTCAGGAAGTCTGTCACGTATTGTAACATCATGTGCTGGCATATCAACGATGACTTGAAAGATTCAAGATCTTGCATTTCGCTGCCGCATTGTGAGGAGTACGATGTCACTGATACATCACCCATTTCATTTATTTATTTTTATTTATATACTTTCATTTATTTGTTTATTTATTCATTTTTCAAAGTTCAACTTCCCAACACAATTCGCAAGTACTGTGTGGAAAAGCCGCGTATAGCGGGAAAACTGTACTAAACTGGACCACGTGGTGTTGCTCACATGGATCCTGAAGCATACCAAAGAAGATTACCGAAATCCTTGCGTAAGAGTACGCAGCTGCGTAGGCTGCGTCACATATTTCATTTAGGTCACCTTTACCGTCGTCAACGTCATGCCATATTTCATTAAGGAAATGCTGCAGAGAGATGTAGAGAAAGGGAAGAACACATTTATTTTCGAAAACACAAGTCCGGATCTGAGCTTTACAGTGAGGTTTTACTGACCTCCCTTTTGATGGATGGTTATATGGTTAAGAAGTGACCACGAAGAAATTGTTTCGCCATAGTTTGAAACCTTTCTTGTAATTATATGTTAGAGCAGCGTGAATGACTGCGTATTGGCTCAGGGCAGTGCCAGTATGTGTGGGATAAAGTCGGTGTGGAACCACACTCTTGGTAATGAGGTGTATCGGAGGCTTGCCGTATATATTTTGTGTAGTGTAAAGTCATTCGGTAGAGTATGCGTTTGTGCTTGCCTCAATAGCGTGGCTTCTTATGTCGAAAAAGTATTGGGTGGCCTATATGAAGCGCTATTCTGGCTGTTCGGAGGGTTTCTAGTCGGATCCTTCGTTCCTGGTAGCGTTCTGCGTGGTCCACGGTCGGCGGAGAAACATTTGGCCAACCCTGGGATGCATGGCTCAGCAGAAGCACCACGAGATATACCAACAATCGCGTTTTGCGGAAACCGATACCATATATGGTGTTGAGGCTGCCCTCACGATGGTTTTCAGGAAACAATTCAGAAGTAGGAACTCCAGGCCTGCACATCACACGCACTACAGTCACTGTTACGACCGTCGTCAGTAGGCGCCATGCTGTCGCTGAATAACGTAGCCGGGCAGCGCTCCCACGCCCGGAACCCCAGTTCTCTCGGAACCAGCTTCCAGCGGGGGGGGGGGGGGGGACAAAGAGATTAGAAGACGGTCCGTGAGCCAATGTCCCTACAAGCAATTCCTCCGGGCCAGCTTGTTTAGCGAGACGGCGAAGCAGACCGACCGCACAGGTCGTGTCTCCACGATTCAAGTGTCTACTTCTTGGCTGCCCTCCCACGGAAAGACTGAGGAAGCAACCCTACCGCCAAATTGTTCCGGGACAGTACCCCATTTCCCCTCTCCTCAGAGCATTGCGTCATGAGGTGCAATAACTATTCGGCGGACCGTGCGTTACTGACTGATGACCCTGTGGTTGGTGTTTTGTGTGTGTGACTGGTGTTCCACTCAAGGAGGAGGAGCCCGACAGGGCTTAAAACGACGCCACAGAGTGCTGGACGTCGCTCTGAACCATGTGACGGTTCAACCACCACGCTCGTGGTTTGTGAAAATCCTAACTTTCCTGTGCTGTAAATAAGTGTAAATAGTGCCATAAACCTGTTTGTTTTTCGTATCCCCATCTTGTCAGCGTTTGTTTCCTCCACTCGAAGTTACACCACGCTATAAGAACACGGCCGCTCCAGGTACACTGTTGGCACCGCTTTTTCGTGTTGAGGGAGTAGGCCGTAGAAGCTCCCCCCCCCCCCCCCCTCCACGCCATAAATGCAACCGCCACGATATCGCAGCCACCGCGATATGCAC